ATAAATTACACCCAAAGAAAGCAAATAATAAGCAGCAGAGAAGAAACAAGGGGAATCAGTTAAACTAGAGGCTGGCAATGAAAATCCCAGTAAATTAGTAAATCTCTAGCTAGGCTGCTAAAGAAAAAAGAACATTCAAATTACTAGATCAGGAACGATGTGAATTGACAAAAAAAAAAAAAAACAAAAAAACAAAAAACAAACAAACAAAAAAAAAAAAAAAAAACGCTAGAATGGTGGTTCTCAGTATGTGGGTTCCGGCCTCAGTGGGGGTTGAAGGACCTTTTCACAGGGGTCCCCTAAGACCATCGGAAAACACTGATATTTACAATTCATAACAGCAGCAAAATTATGGTTATGAAGTAGCAAAGAAAAAAGCTTTTTGGTTGTGGTCACTACAACATGAGGAACTGTATTAAAGGGTCACAGCATTAGGAAAGTTGAGAACTAGGGCTCTAGAGGCTACAAAGATTAGATTCACTGTGTTTTCTACAGATACTAGAAGGATAAGAGATTATTACAACCAATTTTCTGCCGGTGACTTCAAGGAATCAAACAGCCAGCCACATGACCAATAACTAACAGAAAAACCAAACATAACACAGCAAGGAACAGCTGGGGAAGCAGCTCTGTAATAGAGCACTTTCCTAGCATGTGAAAGGCCCTGGGCTCATTCTTAGCACCAAATAGAAAACCAAATCCCCAACTGACCTATGCTCACAAAATGCAATGTGAAGTACATTTCAAAGCAAAACATAAATTTAGAAAGAAAATACACTACAAAAGTCTTGAGTTTACTCCATTATTGATCATTAGTATTAATTGATTACATAGACTGGCATATTTTTCCAACAAAATCTGTTGAATTTGGTTATCAACACAAATTCAGTATCATTTTACTTGTATTTTAATTCTGAAGACTATCAAAGTTTCCAAGTTGTAATTCTCCTTATTAACTTAAAAATTAAAAACTTATCCATAACAGTAAAAGTAAATTGAAACATGAATGAGAATGAACAGATTAAAACAGTAGCACTGCAGAGATATAATGACATGAAAACATGTTGATGAGCTGCTGTTGAAGACAGAACTGGGTTTACACTATTAATGTTAGAGGTCTATACAGTCAGGGGTCTGTAAGTGTACATAAACTCTCATAATGCTTAAGCAAAATGGAGGAAAAGGTACTCTAGAAGCCTAACAACAGCTTCTCTGGGTGGCAGGATTTTCAGTAGTGTTTTAAATTCTTAAACTATGCTTTTTGTTGTTGTTTCTATTTTCCCCAATTTTCTATACTGGGATGTGCTGCATTTATAACTGAGGGCTGAAAATTAAATTAAGTCAACTACTGAACATTAACCATATTTCCATACAAATGGTAAGTTCTTAGCTAAGCAATTGCCTTTGCCCAGGTACAACTTTATTTGAGCTTCTCATTTCCTAAATACAGAAACCTTTGAAGCTAGGTATGTCATACCCCTGTAATCTTAGTGCTAGAGAAGTTGGAGCAAGAGGATTCGGAATATGGACTACACAGCAAGACTGTCTCAAAAAAATCCAAACACCACCTACAACAAAAAGGAAATCAACTTGTGCTTTTATTTTCTACTACTTACAATGAAAATTAAAAATTAAATATCATCTTAAAAAGAACTCTTTTAAAAAGCAGAGCATTTGTTGGGCATGGTGGTGTCTACTTTTGATTTCAACACTTAACATGTAAAAATAAAAAGGATTTTTGTCCAAAAAAAATTAAACATTTAAAATATAGAGCATTAAAACAATTTTTTTTAATCTTTTAGGGAATGGAGAGGTGGCTCAGCAGTTAAGAACACTGGCTGCTCTTCCAGTGGATCTGAGTTCAATTCCCAGCACACACAAGGCACTCACAACCATCTGTAACTCCAGTTCCAGGGACCTGACATTCTTTTGGCCCCTAAGAGAGCCCACGCTCACCTAGTGCACAGAAATACATGCAGACAAAACAACCAAACACACAAAATAAAATTTTTAAATAGTCCTTTTTAAAAAAATCAAAAGCAATAATAAAAATTTACTCTTTATAAATGATTTCTCTTTTTAGAGTGACAGGACAGAATTAAAATAATAAGCAAAAGTATTTCTTCATGAATTATACAACCAACACAATAACTCAGAATTAAAATTGTAAGAATAGTTGTTTAGATAATTTAATATTTGTAGAGTCAAGCATGAAGAAAACAGAATGTCTTTATCCACTTAATTCATGGAAATTACATATATCAGGGCTATTAAAAATGGCTGTAAAGCAACTTATAAATACCATTATGTAATTAAGCCAATTAGTAAGAATTAAATTGTTCTTACATTTAAGAGTGTTAGGTTGATAATCCGTTCAACTCTACCAACAATTTAAAGCTCAAGCTAGCTGATGCACTGCCTCACTTTGAAAAAGATGCTCAATGTGCTGCAAGTACTTTAAGAAAACAGTCACAAAGACAGTTTTGCTATAAACTGTGAAACTTTTAAAAATAATTTGCTGCCTATAATGTTTTACTAAAATATTCAGAGCAAATAAAGTTTGCCTACCACAGCAGCATAAGTAAAAAGAGGGAGAGAAAGCATTTAATATAGTGCTCTAAGGGAAGAATGGGAAAAGAACAACTTTCTATTATTAACAATACCTTCTAGACATGTTTGACAATGGACAGCAGTTAACTGACAAATTATACTTCTTAGTTTCATATTTCAAACAACCTTCAAATCAATGTGTAAGTGATTTATAGTGATCAAATAAAGCAGTGAAAGGCTCTCTACACCAGGAAAGCTTAACTAAGTGAGACAAACAGATGGACAGCACCCATCTCAGAAACACCTGCTGTAGAGTGCAGTTGACTCCTTCACATGAGGGAAGTGAGCTTTCTGTTCTTTTGTTCTTCGTTCTTAACTAGTCAGAAGGCTGGGATGCCTATTTGCCCTCAAGGGGCCATACTAGAAAACCTACAATTTGAGCTCCTAAGAGTGATATAGGAAATGTTAAAATTTAAGTCTTTGTGCTAAATTCACATCAGTCTGACCTCCCTCCAAACTGCAAATGACTCCATACCAACTAGTACCTCAATATTGGGGAGGGGGAGTTCTAAGGTTTGTATCACATGTTGAAAATTTCTGACATATTCTAAGTCATTTCTATCCTGGGGGTGGGTGGTACAGTAGAGGAAAACTGGCAGATCATTCAAGAACTCAATAACTGGCCAAACAGAACCCCAACATTCAAAAGACCAAGTGAGGCAGGAGGCTCTCTTATCTCCTGACCGGTCTGGACTACATACACAACACCCCCACAAAAAGCTACCATAAAAAGTTCAACAATTAATTCAGTTTTTAAAGCTAAAATGGACATACTTATAACTCCACAGAAAAAGATGTAGACAGCTACTCATCCACTTGTTAATACTTACTTCTGGAGAGAAGTATGAGGTAAAAGTAGAAATGTATATCCAGTGTGTTGGCACACACCTAAAGTCCCAGTATTCATGAAGCTGCAGCAGGACTACCCTGAGTTCAAGGCCAGCCTAGAGCACACAGTAAGTTCCAAGAAAGCCTAGTTAAAAAACAGCATGAGACTCTGTCTCAACAACCACAAATATGGAAGACAGCCTTCACTTATATGACTGATCTAGCTAAAAGATTGGAAAGATCTACATACATAAAGTTCAAATGAAAAATAAATGTCATTTTGCAGTAGAGTGACTATCATACACCTGTAACAAATAGAAGCACACCAATATCCTGTCCTACAAAATAAAAAAAAACTACTAATATTAATAAAAGTGTCTATAGCAACAAGTTTCCAAACAATATTATTGTCACTAGAGGGAGTTTTTGAGTATTCCCTCCCTAAAATTATACCCACTCTCACAACACCCTTTCAACTTTAACCTTGCTTTAAAAAAAAAGCTGGGTTGGCAGAACTAGAAAAAAACATTAATATATGTTTATACAATCTGTAGTCATAAAAATGCTTAGTTTCTTACATTTGATTCTGAATTTTATTTTCCATAAGAAATTCTCTCTCCCTCTCACACACACACACACACACACACACACACACACACACACTTACTTCACTGGGGTTCATGTCTGACTTCCTTAAAGGAAATAACAGATTCCCACCAGAAAAGCACATTAAGCTAAACAATCTAGTGAAAAACTGTGAGGTAGGGACTGACAAAAGGAAAGGAAAAAAAATTTTTTATAAACTATAGTTTATAAAAGGGAGACACTACACTATCAAAGCAGCATGATCCAACTGTGACACAAAATGCAGTTATCACCAAGTGTCAGAAAGACAAATAACAACCTTTGTGGTTTTGAATTCATCTGTGACTTTGCCTTCTTAAAGTGGAAAGAGCTGGTAAATTCATCCTAACCTTTTCTTCGGTTTATTGTTTCAAATATTAAGAGAAGTAATACTGAAAATGATCATACAAAACAGGAAACCAATAGCACATAAACTATTTTAGGAAATTTTGTTGTTCATGAATCCATAAAACAATACGGATAATGCATATACATTTCATTTTTCCACCCTTTCTTTTTTAGAACACTTCTCCCTTTTCCATAATTATTGGTTTTCTAGTTTACTCTAGAAGACAAATACAAATTTTACAGTTATTACACTCTCCCTTAACACATAAAACAGCACCCAACTCACACCATTCTATTTCTTGTTTTCACTTTATTCCAAAGTTTTTTGTCATTCTTTTTTCGTAGGTCATCATGGCTAGTCCTGCAAACTAACCAATGGCACTCTCATCAGTAACTCCTTGGCACATACGGTTTCTTTCCCCTAAGATTTTAAAACAAACCAGATTTGAACTGTTGCATGGCATATAATTTAGAGACAGCCACTCTCTAAGTTATATCCTAAGAATTTCTTTTCAATCAGGTATGAAATGGATGTTCTACAATTTCTCTAATCTCTTAAAGCTATAAACAATGCAATCGATTGAAATTACCTTTCCTGTGATTTCGGGGATGGGGCCGTAGTCAAATCAACAATGTCTGTAAAAGTTTCTTCTTGTGCTTTTTTTCACTGAAAAAGAAATCACCGGGGCTTGTTGCTGTCGTTGTCTTAAAAGCATCTACAAACCCTTCAGTTTGTGGGGCACGGCATTCTAATATCAAAAACCCACAACCTGATCTGTCATCTGTCAGGGCAAAGGCCAAAGCTCTTCATTTTTTAGGATTCTGCTTACTACCCCGGACTTATAGGTGGCACAAAACACCCACAGGAACATAAACTTCGTGGCGCTGCGTACCGGTCGAGCCAGGACCACGTCCAAGGCGGTCAGCTCCGCAAGCAGAGAGCGGCCGGTCGGACGGCCGGGGCCCTGCACAACCCGCGGACCAAGCCCCGGAACCACGACCACTAACGGAACCAGCCCTGGGCGGCAGCGGCGGCCGCTCGGACCTCGGAGCGCAGCGCGCGCCGGCCGCCGCGAGGGCGGGGGCTCGGCGGAGGAGCTGGCCGCCCCATCGCCCCATTGGGCGCCGCTCCAAACGTGCCCGAGTGGTGACAGGAATAAAGTGGGTCACAAGGCCTAGCGGGTCCCGGGCGCGAGCCCTCTCGCCAGCCGACTCGGCCTGCCCCGGCGCCCAGCCTCGAGCGCGCTGCGGCCCCGGAGCCTCCCGGGTCGCAGGTCCCGCCGCGCCCCCCTGCCCCGCAGGTAACCCCGGCGGCCCCCGACACTTCACACAGGCCCAGCGGAGCGCGACTCCCGGGGGCTCTGCGCTCTGCCGGCCGCCCGACCCCGGCCGCGGCACCCGCCTCCCGGTCTGTCCGCAGCCGCCCCCACCCCCGGCCCTCACACCGCCCCTCGCGCCCGCCCGCCCGTGTCCTCACCGTGCGGCCGCCTGAGGCTCCGGCTTCCTCCCTCCCCCACTCGGGGCTCTGGCCGCGGAGACTCGCGACCGCCAGGCCGCAGCGACCGGGGAAACGCCGCGGCTGCGGGAGCCGGCAGCACCTAGGGCGGCCCGTGCGCGCCCCCAACCCACCCCTCCAAATTCACCGCTACTGGCGCGCTCCTCCCCCTCCCGGCCTTCCCCTCCTCCACCGGCTCCGGAAGCACGCATGCGCCGCCGAGGCCAGACGCCCGCCGCGCGCCCGACCAGGGCCCACCCTGTGGGGCGCACTCACCGGGAGCGCGCGCGCCGGCGGCCAGATTCCCTCCGCGCTCTCGCCGGCCCGGGTTTCCTCTCTCCAGCCGGTAGCCGCCGGCCGAGTCCGTGATTGAGCTCCCTCCCGGCGCATGCGTCGTGGACGCGGGGCTCCGCGGCCGGCCGGGCTCTGCACTCGCCCCTCCCCTCGCGGCCGCCTTCCCCGGCGTGTCCGGGCGCGCATGCGACTTTCCCCGTTAGGCAGCCCCGAGCCGCGTTGCGCCAAGCCGCGCCAGGGCATCCCGAGCGCCAGAGGAAACCCCGCTCCTGCGGGCCGCTGTGTGCTCGCTCTGAGGCCGCAGAGGGAAGCGGGGATGCCCCGGGGTCCCCTTTCCCCGCGCAGGCCGGGAGGCGGGGCCCGGCGGAGGGTGCGGCCGCCCGCAGCAGTTTGGGCGGCTCACGGCTCCCCGGGATGCGGCGCTGCTTGCCTGTGGGAGCCACCGGCCCGACAGGGGCCTGTCTCTTGAAAAGCAAAGAGCTTAGCTGCCGCCAAGTTAAAACGTCTCCAACCCGACTTGGGACAGGTCGGCTTCCTCTCCGGGAGGTGCGTGGACTGCCTGGGACTCGGTTTCCTGGCCGCTCCCCGGAGCTGGGCATGGGCAACCCAAGTGACCTCGCTGCAAAAGGTCGGGATGTGTTTGCTCCTTTTATAAAAAGGCAAGAGACACTGTAAAAGATGAGGATGCCTTCCTGGGATGAACCCTAGATTACACTGGTGTCGTGGCCCACTGCACCCGAATTATTGGCGGGGGAGGGGAGGGGAAATGCCTTTACACCCGTAATCTCTAGTAATTTCTTTTAATAATCAACTTGGACATGAAACAGAAGGCAATAAATAAACCTGTACTCTTTAGCTCCAAAATCCTCTATATAGGGGTATGTGCACCTCATTAAGAATTAAATTCTTATTTCAAAACTGGAGAATTTAGCTGCATACTCTCCAAGCAGTGTGAACGCTCAAAAAGGGGAATCCTCAAATTCCTGGCTAATCTGGATTGTGTATTCAGACCCTGTCCTGAGAACTTTTCCTGGTGCATGTTTTGTTCATTTCTCCATCGAAAGGCTCTTACTGCGCATTTCTGCTATTCCGAATCCATCTGCTGCTCTGGGTTAGTTTAGTTGAAGAATTTGCCTATTCTCCACTCAGTCCCTGTGGTCCAGGCAGGATACTGCTAAGGAGAAAAGCTTGAGTTCACTCTCAGCCTGGCAGTTACTACCAAGAACTCCTTTCCAATGGATTTGAATTTGGAAAATAAAGCCTTTGCTTGTGTGACTAATGAAAAAGAAGGTACCACGAAGGACAAAAACAAAAAGCAAGATTCAAAGAGGATAGTGTAGCCTAGATGCTTGATATCCGACTATGAGGGCTAGATTTCTCTGGAAGTTTCAGTTAATCAATACATTCCTGAATGTGTTTGTTTTATTGCTTAAACCATTGAGAGTTCTTTTGCCATAGACAAGTTAGCGTCTAGATCACTAGTCGGTAGTAAAAAAAGGAAGTAAGATAAATAATGCTCATGAAGTAGGTTGCAACCAGATGGAGAGAACCTGAATGCTTTTCCTGGCTTGAATGTTTCAGTTTTAGTCTAGAAGCAGTCCCATTTTATATTGTCTTCTTTAGTACATATATCTTCAAAATGACCTTTGCCCCTTTTAATGATTTCACTGTCCTCTTAGTCATCTATGACTCCTCCTTCTCACATTCTGTGTTTAATTATTTACCAAGATATGTTGATAATCCTTTGATTTTTCTGCTCAGTCCTCTGCCACTGTTTGAATATTTCCCACGGTTCAGTTTACAACTTTCTCCCCATATTCTCTCTAGGGAGGGAAGAAAAAACTTTCTCTCCAATTTTGAGATTCTTTGTCTCCATCAAACAAAAACTTTGCCTCATAGTTTCATAACTCCTAAATCTAGGTTCCCAGTTCTAAACTACCACCTTAAACGCCACACGTAGTAGTTATGTGTTCTGTAAACTCCCACGTGCCTTGCTATTGCCATCATTTAAACTGTTCCCAGTTGTCTTTTCAGCTGAGTTCCCCATGAAGTTCTTCATCTATAAAATAAGGATAACAGTCTCAGCTCATAGGACAATTAGAGGTAATTTGTGTATTAACACTACCTGCTATGTAAATTCCAAGTCAAGTATTGGCCACTTCAAATTCTTTTGAAATTAAAATTTAATTACACCATCCCCACTTCCCTTTCTTCCCTTCAGTCCTTTCCATGAACCTCACCTTGCTCTCTCTCAAACTCTTGGCCTCTATTTCTCTAATTTGAGTGTATGTGTACATTCCTAAACATATAAATACAGCCTACTTAGTTTGTAGAATGTTACCTGTATGGATTCAGGGCTGGACACTTGATATTGGATAACCAGTTTAGGGGCTCTTCTCTGGGGGAGACTGTCTTTCCCTGATTTTAGCATTCCTTAGTTGCCTGTTGTTTTTTGTCAACAGTTGAGACCCCATGAGATTTTCTCCTTCCACATTAGCATGTTTATTGGTGTCCTCCTTGTTTGGGTCTTCTTTAGGCAGCCATATTGTTGAGACTTCACAGGGGTAGCTTCTCTGGCACAGCAAACTTCCTCTTCCTGTTTCTTTCATCTTTCTGCTTCCTCTTCCACTAGATTCACTGAACCTTAAGTACATACTTGTAATCCTAGTCTCAGGGAGGCCAAGACAGAAGGATGGTGAGTTCAAGGTCAACCTAGGCTACCCAGCAGGACCCTGTCTTTAAAAAAATTAAAGTGAGAGAAATCACATTGTACTCCTTATTAAACTTCTATTTGCAGTTCATCTAAATGCTTAAAGCCACAATCCCCTATTGATCTGTCCCATTCCTGGCCTCCAACCTCATGGACTACCATTTGCTCTTGTGACCTTCCAGAAACATCTTTTCAATTCCTTGCTAATCACCACCCACTTTCAGGCTTTGACAGAGGTGTGTGCTGCTATGAGCCCTTGCCTGCTTGCTGCTGTACCTGTTCTTAAACCTGCCTCATCAAATGTCATGTGTCAAAAAGATCCCACCCACACAGTACCCACAGCTTCTCTATTTATTGTTTCTCCCATAATACTTCTTAGTTGCATATGTATTTGTTTAATGTTCAATGTCTCACTTATTAACCATCTCCCCTACAGATGATGTACTTCAAGAGGGAAGGAACCACATATTTTATTACCTATTTACTTATAGCATTTATTTCAATATCTAAGGTGAATAAGTGATTGAATGAGATTAGAGATGCTAGAAAGATCTTTATATCCCCAGCTATAACTGGAGGCAGAATGTCAAGAAGTAGCTCTAGAAATTCATATAACTATATAAAGGAGGAACAAACTGGAATTCATTGAGGAAGATCATATTACTAGTACTGTTGTCCTGTATTTGAGAATCCAGAAGAATGTGGAGCACTATTATAGAATTATCTGTATAAGAACATGAGAATATAATAAAATTACCATCTATATAAGAATGTGTGTCACTGTTAATAGGTAAAGCTACCACCTGTGTAGGAGTATTCAACTCTGGAATAGATAAGTTACTGTTTGTGTGAATGTGACCCTGATTGAGAAAGCTGCCACCCTGTAATAGAGGATGTTGTCACCAGTATATGATGCTAAGTGAAGTCCAAAGTAGGGAACAAATAGCATCAAGCATCTCGTCTTCTAAATGACTACTAATATTTGATGCCAGAAACCTGCTCCTTCAGCCGTGGTCAAAGTTGTGAAAAGTGGATCTTCGATGGCCATCTCTAAGTTCACACTCAAGTACAGCACTTAAGGAGAGAAATATTTGGAAGTTTAATTCATTGAAACCATGCTGCTGTGTCTGTCTCCTCTCTCGCTTGTGCGTGCGTGCATGCGTGTGTGTGGAGGATCAAAGCACTCTACCCCTCAACTATGTCTCCAATATCAATTACATCTCTAGCTATTGGCTCTTTTTAAGACAGGTCTCAATAATGTATGTAGCCCAGGCTGCCCTCAAACTTGTGTTCTTCCTCTATATCTTGAAGACATATCTGCTTGATTTTCTTTCTTCCCCTTTTCATTCCATGTTGTTACTAAGACTTCAATAGCATCAAATCAAAGTGTTCACTAAACTTTAAGAGTCTAAAGAGAGACTGAAATATCATCCCTAGGCAGATGTATCAATATCACCCAATACTTACCAAAACAGGAAGAAAGAGACTTAAAGAGAAACTGCTGGCCAGAGGTGGGTTGAACTAAATCAAAGCACATATCCCACCATTTCGATATGGTCAGGGTGTGATGTTTCTTGTGATTTGACTGGCTGAAAGTACTGTCTGGGCTTGAACCATTTTGACACATAGAGAGAAAGGAAATTTTAACAGTAAGAAGACTAGGTATACTTCTGCAGGAGGTGGGGTGCTCAGAGATCAGCAGAGATGGGACTAAACCAGGACTGTGCCATGGGAGGCTGACCCAGTTTCTAGGAGAACTCAGCATGCCTCATTAATGAACAAGTACTTGGATGCAATATGGATTTTAGACAATTTAAATGTATTCTTTTTTTCTAAGTTCCTTGGAGATGTACAAAGGACGGGAAGAAAACTATTAAGCTAAAACAGCCCTATTTGAGCCCATCCTTGGCTACATAGCTAGACCCCACCTTAAAGCATCATCTTCCTAGTTCCTTGAATTCAGTTCTGACTTGGAGCTGAAACTGGAGTTTCAACTCAGGTAGATTTAATGACCCAGTGTGGGGATAGCTTAACACACTCAAGCTTTAAGGGATTTGCTTCATAGTGCTCCTGGAATTTTAATGCACATGCCAGTCATCTAGGCATCTCATTAAAGTGAAAATTCAATCCAGTTAGTTTGGATAGGGCCAGAGTTCATGCACTTCTAATAAGTTTCCTGGAAATGCTCAAAACACTAGGAGGAAATTTGAATTAGACAATGTAAGTAGAGGAAGAGATTTCAGTTGTCAAGGATAACTAAAAATATGAGAATGAAATAGAAAGTGTCTATTTTTACAATTATTAGTAGGTGATTAAAAAATGTCAAGTTCACCTACAGCTAAACACTGAGCCAAACTGGAATCCATTTGCAGAGAGGGAGAAGTGATGAGCAGAGGGGTCAAGAACAGGCTGGAGAAACCCACAGAAACAGCTGACCTGAACAAAGGGGAGCTCATGGACACTAGACTGATAGCTGGAAACCAGCATCAGACCTACCCAGACCCCCTGAATGTGGGTCTCATTTAGGAGGCCTGGCCAGTCTATGAGACCTCTGATAGTGAAACCAGGATGTATCCCTAGCGCACAAAAGCACTTTGGGAGCACATTCCCCATGGAGGGAAACTCCCTTAGCCTAGAGACATGGGGGAAGGTCTAGGCTCTACCCCAAATGACTTGACAGATTTTGCTGTTCCCTCATGGAAGGCCTCACCCTCCCTGGGGAATGGATGGGGGATGGGATAGGGAGGCATGGAAGGATGGGAGGGAGAGGGAACTGGGATTGATATGTAAAATAAGAAAAAATATTAAATAATAAGAAAATTTAAAAACTGAAGTTTCTGCCCTATCAAGTCATTCAATAGTGAATATTTCATATTAATTTCTCACAAACTGACTAATACTTATATCCTATTGAAACGACAAATGTATTTATGAAATAGAGGCTTATAATCTTGGGTCTCTGCTAGAAGAATGTGTGTACATCTTGTGGAAGGGTGAGGCTGAACTCACAATCATCCTGTTCTAATATACTGCAATTGTATGGCTTTTACAAATGTTAGTCTTCAGAACTGTGTGTGAGGATAAACTGTCATTACTGGATGGATCAGAGTTAAGAAGGAAAAGTTTATCTTTTATTTTAGCTAATTTTAACAGTTAATTTTAACATTAAAAAGAGAGGGACAGCTACTTTAAAGGGAAAGGAAGAGGGGCTAGAGGAATAGTTCAGTGATTAAGATCACTGGCTGCTCTTTCAGAGTACTTGGGTTCAATTCTCAGCAGCATCATGGCAGCTCATAAGATACCCAGTTCCAGGGTATCTGATATCCTTTCTGTCCTCCTTGAGCACCAGCGCAGGTGATGTGCAGAGCAACAGTCAGGCAAAATACCCATACAGGTAAGTAAAATAAAAGGAAAAGAGCACATTGTGTAGGTGTTTTACATTTGTTTTCACTGGAAGGAAAACCAACGCTCATCTTTTCCTGTATTAGGTAACACAAGAATTGAATTGTGACTTTATGATAATATGGCTCTTCCTTTCGTCCCATGATTGTTGTATCCCAAACAAGAATTAATCCATCCCTTTCTCAAGGAGTTCAGGAATTAAATGAATTTAACTAGGTAGTCATTTCTTCTATAAGATTTTCCTAGAAAGTAGATTCTGTAGAGACGGCTCCCCTGCTAAACCACAGATGTGACCTTAGTCCAAGTCCTCAGCACCCAAATCAAAGCCAGGTATGGCATTGTGTGCCTGTGATGCAGCATTGGGGATCAGACTGCAAGGACCCAAGGATGAGGACAGGGGAGCTCCCTTTGCTCAACCAGTCCAGCTTTGCTATGAGAGGTTCTACCTCAGAAATTAAGGTGGAGAGCAGTTAAGAAAGAGACTGAAAACCAACCTCTCACCTCCACTTGCACATTCATGGGCATGCACAGCCATGTATACTGCATTAATTGTATTTATAAAGTTATATTTATTTCCTCTCATGGGTCTTTTGGAAGTGATTAGTCAACAGTATTTTTGGTTTTGTCCAACAGGAATTAGAAAAAATAAATCACATGATGTGGGATGCCCTTCTGTGTGCTACAAATATGTGTTGATTTTATTAGTTGATAAATAAAACTGTTTTGACCAATGGATAGGCAGAATATAGCTAGGCAGGAAATCCAAACAGAGTTATGGAAAGAAAGAAGGCAGAGTCAAGGAGAGATGCCATGTAACTGCCTGGGAAATGATGTGAGGTAACAAGCCACAAACCTTGTAGAAAGATATAGATTAGAAATGGGTTAATTTATATGTAGACCTAGAAGCCTGAGCCATTGGCCAAACAATTATAATTAATATTAAACCTTAGAGTGGTTATTTGGCAACCTGCAGGTGGGATGAAAAAGTGGCTGTGACCAGCAGATGGAAGAGAAACTGGTCCAGAGTGGATCGCGCCAGGCGAGACAGAACAAAACTTCCAACTATGGTCATAGTAAAACAATAAGGAGTAAAAATTCATATTTGCAAGAGACACTATTCCTAAATGAAAGTTTTTCAATTGACGTGTAGGCTATAATTCTTATATAAAGAAGAAAACAAGGTCTATATATTCAATCTAATTATAAAATCAATAGGAAATAAAGCATTGGATACATATACTTTAAAGCTATTTATTAACTAGTTCTACTTGGCATCATTATCACTGTTGGAGCTGTCACTATCATAAATGGCAATGTTTCTAATTGAAGACACCATCATATCCGTGATGCCCTTTTTGGGGTTTTCTTCCAAGTCAGTCTGTATTGCACCAACTTTCGATAGTTTCCATTCAAGTTCTACAATAGATAAAAAACCATCATTAAACTGGATGACAATCTTGGGAAAACGGAGATGAATTTCTCATCTACATGAAACAAAAGTTGACTTTGATAAAATGAGTGTGGAAACTGAGGCTGGTGAGAGGGCTCACCAGGTAAAGGGGCTTGCCACCAAATCTGACAGACACCCTGAGCCTGATCCCTGACACCCACATGGTGAAGGGAAGGAACTGACTTCTATAAGTTATCCTCTGACCATATGCACATGATGGAATTCTAGTACACACACACACACACACACACACACACACACACACACACACACAATAAAATGTAAAAAACTAATAGTATGGAAGTGAAGATCATTCAAACCTGAAGGACAAAGTGTTATTCTATCAGAATTACATTGAATAAAGTTATCCTTAACAGGGGAAATGAATAAAATGATCATCTTAAAAACATTAAAAATAAGAAGGTCAAAAGTGTACACCAGCTGGGCAGTGGTGCAGCATGCCTATAATCCCAGCACTTGGGAGGCAGAGGCAGGTAGATCTTTGGGAGTTGGAGGCCAGCCTGGTCTACAAGGCTACACAGAGAAACCCTGACTTGAAAAATCAAAACAACAACAAGAAAAATAATGTACACCAGGAAGCTAATAAGCCAGATGTGGTGCTGTAATCCCAGTATCTGGGAAGCTGAAGCAGGAGGACTGCCACAAATTCCACCCAACCCCAACTCCACGCAAAAAGAAGAGAAAAAGAAAAAGAAGGGAGAGAGAAAGAATGGGCATACGCTTAAAGAAAGGCAGAAAGAAAGGATATAATAAAAGATCTTGGTGGAAATGGGAAAACTAAAGCAATGGAGGTGACCAGGAAAGTTAAACTTGGATTTTTAGAAGCATATGGTGATTGGAAAGAAAATGGCCCCCAAAGGGAGTGGCACTATTAGGAGGCACTGCCTTGTTGGAGAAAGTGTCGCTGTGGAGTGGGCTTTGAGGGCCTCTTTGCTCAAGCTTCCCTCAGTGTGACACTCAATTCACTTCCTGCTGCCTGCTGATCAAAATGTAGGACTCTCGAATCATGTCTGCCTGCACACCACCATGTCCTGCCATGATGAAAATGGACTAAACCTCTGAACTGTAAATCAGTCACCCCATTAAATGTTTTTTCTTTTTTTTTTTTAAAGAGTTTCTGCGGTTATAGTGTCTCTTCACAGCAATAAAATCCTACCTAAGACAGAGCAATTAGTAGCTGAGTGCTGGGTGGAAATGCTTACAAGATAAGAAAGAAATCAAGTTAAGAATTTACATGGGTCATAACCAAACTGACGAGATACCATCATTCCCTGGGTATCAGATGGGCACACACAAAGTAAAACCCTAAACAAAAAATAAAACCAAAAAACCCAAAACTCTGGTAAAAGTGTGAATAACTGAGTAGTTCATAAAGATTAAAATTCAATATTTAAAGCCAACAGAACTGTTGGGAAGAGAAATACACCAACCAATACAACTGAAAATGATTTAGACTGTTAATGGTGCAAATTTTTGTTTTTGTTTGTTTTTAAGAAAAAATATGAACTACCAACACACAGCACTAACTGCAGTGTTCTACTAATACAGGGATAGAAAAATGAAAAAGCCCATGGTAGAGATCTCAAAAACAAGTTGACACATTTAAAAATTACAGCAGAAACAGAAAATACCTCATTTCCATGCACCAGGATGCTATTTTTGGAAGAAAAAAAAAAACCTAACCAGTGTTGAAAGGTTCAAAGAGAACGTGAGAGCTTTGAACACTGTTGGGTAGAGTACAATGTGGTGTAGCAGTTATGAAAAACTGTATGGCAATTCCTTTAAAAATGTATGAATTACTGTATGATCTGGAAATCACAGTTCTGGGCTTTGACAGAGGGATGGAGACAGGCACTGTATCAGGTGTCTGCAGACTCAGTTCCATGAAAGCAGCATTTATTATAGATAGAGACAGAAGAAACCTGACTGTCCATCCAACCTCAAAAAGGAAGGAAGCGGCAAGGCTGGGAAACACCTATTTATATTGCTGCTGCCAGGGATGCTAAAGCAGGAACATCACACTTTCAAGGGCACTTTGGACAAGATCCCATTTCAAAAGGAAATGTGCAAGACAAGTTGGGAAAATGATTAAGACTGTAAGAGTTCATATTATACATACTTTGCAGATTAAAAATAAATTTAAAAACAGTGGGAAATAAAATTTCAGTAAATGGCATTGGAGCAATAGAATAAAATTAGATCCATTCTTTATAATACGGCATTACAATGTTATTTATTACCTAAGCAAAAATAAAAATATTAAGAGAAAATATAGGGGAGATGTCTTTTTCATCTTGAAAAAGATATAATTGTTTTTAAAGGGAAGCATGGTAAGTAAAACTTTAAAAGATTAATAAGTTTAACTCTGCTAATATAAATTTTGCCTGACAATGAAATGAAACTAGACCCAGGCATGCGTACCTAGAGCCTCTGCTACTTGAGAGGTGAAGCGAAGATTGTTTGTGCCTAAGAGTCTGAAGCCAGACCTTGTATCAAGTAAAAGAAGAAGAAGGAGAATGGGAAGGAGAAAGCAAAGGAGAAGGAGGACAAGGAGGAGAAGGAGGGGAAGGAGGAGGAGGAGAAGAAGAAGCAGTAGCAGCACAGCAACATTGTTGGCTGAAGTGTAACTCAGTGGTGGAGAGCTACGAAGAACCTGTGTGTGATGCCATAGAGGCAGTGGACAAAACTTCACAACATCTGTGATTCAATGAAAAAATACACTGAAAAATGAACAAAGCAAATAGAAGATCTGGATAGGTAGTACAGAGAATGTACAGGACAAAAGCCCACAGAGAAAAGAAAGAGGCTTCATTAGTCTGGGAACTCGTGGTAGGATAAGTGGAAATGAGAACCTTATGAACAGAGTTTCGACCAGGAGAGTAAAAGTAGCGACTGTATGACAAAGTGTGAGTGCAAAGTTATGTATGGGATCTTCCGTGACTAAGCCCAGTCCAACTAAGGCAGCTACCACCCAGAACAGAGAAACATGGGTGTGGAGTTGGGCTGGATTCTAAACTAGATGGTTTACATTTTTAAAATTATTTTAGACAGACAGCATTAACATTTTTAAGCAAAAGGTGTTGTGATATTATAAGCATGACAACAGGAAAGCTGATCTGGAGGAGTTTAAGAGAGACTAAGTGGGGGCAGGAGAAATGGCTGCAGAGACGGATCCCAGCATCCACAGGGCAGACTGTGAGTGCCTGGAACTTCAGTGCCAGGGAATGCAACAACTATTTCTAGTTTCCATGAGCACCAGACATGCACATTGCACAGGGACACACACACACACTTTTCAAAATCTTAAAAAGCAAAAAATTAAGGGGAAAACTTTTTTCAAAGAAATAAGCTTTCATATTTGTTCATCTGGAGAACTTATTAACTTGTTACTTTTACAAACACTTAAAAAAAATCATTACCTTCCAACTTGAGATTTATCCCTCCACATTCTATAATTCCAATGAATTTGCCTTCTATCTGACCATTTTTATAAGCAAAAATTGTTGGTAAACAGTTGTCATGGTAGTGTTCAATACAGCTATTCACGACGGCTTTAAGGAATTTAGTCTCTGGGAACTTTCTTGCTAGGAAGCTAAGATGCTGGTTGACCAACAAGCACATGGGGACACTAAAAAAGAGAATGTACACAATGTGTTTCAAATACAGATTGTTCCTCTTAGTCTAGTCAAATAAGTGAAACCTATCTATTGTAAAAATAGTTCTTTACTTTTTATATAAAAGCATAGTTATGCCCCAGGAATGATGCTGGTACCCTGGGAAGCTGCATCCTAATTTATGTAAACTACATTCCACTTAGCATTACTTTAATCACTAGTACCCTAGGTGGAAGAATATAGGAACACAAAAAAAAAAAAAAAAAAAAAAAAAACAGGAATGTCTAGGGAATCTGGGGGCAGGCCTGAGCTGCAATAAAGGGATCCAACTCTTGTCACTCCTTGGTTTAATCTCACAGGTACACAAAATCCAGAGTGCCTCATCTCAGACTTCCTTGGCTTTCTTGATCCTAATACATTTCACCCAGTCTTCTGCATCCTGGATCCCAGTATCCAGAATTATTTCTCATCTAAAATTTAAAACTGATTGAAAGCAGGATCCTAAACTTCCAATTCTTCCCACTTCATCCATCACAGACCTCCCTACTACACACACTCTTCCATCCCTCCCTTCCTCCTAGTCTACCTGCTCCACACTTTAGCACATGAGTTCAGAGCTGACTCCCTGCCATCCTGCCCACACACACCTCTACTTTCTTCCATGCTCCTTGGTTTTCTTCTGTTTCTCTCCTGTGTTCTCACTTTCCCTCTCCAAAGAATTTCTCCACTTCAAATAAACCTATCAAAGCTCATAAATCTTAGGGTTTTTTTTTTTTTAAAAGAAAATCTCATAACGAATCCCTTTCTAATAATCACGTTCTTTCTTTATGAAAAGGTATGTGTGTGTGTTTGTGTGTGTGTGTGTTTGTGTGTGTGTGTGTGTGTGTGTGTGTGTGTGTGTGTGTGTAAACCAATGACAAAGCTGCCCTCTTGCATTTCGTTCACCTCTGTTGTTCTTGGGATACTCTCCTTTGGTTTCTGTCAAACGATGTTCTGTTAACTTTTTTTGACCTCTCTGAATTCCCTCTCCTGTTTCAATGTTAAATGTAAATGTTTCTTCAAACAGCTAATAGATTTCATTTCCCTTCCTTACCCAATCCCATGCCTAAAAAGAAACAAAAACAAACAGACCCTGATCTTTTTTTTTTTTTTTTTTTTTTTTTGATATTTCTTAAACTGGCTTAGACTAAAAATCTCTATATACTGTCCACTCAGTAATAAAGACACATCAACTCCACCTTCTTGTTTAATTATTCTCCTTGCCCATTGCTTCACTCGCTCCTTGGCGGAGCTATATTAAGTTATCCTAAATCTGTTTCCAGATGTTACCCATATTCATCCTTGGCCCTATTTACAAAGGGAACACAGCATGGAAGTCTTGTCGTATAACCCTCATGGAAGTGGCATCATATGATCCTGAGATTGCACAAGTGGCCCAAGCTTAAACACCTCCAGTGGCTACTCCTCGCTGGCATAAAATCTGAACTCCTTAATGTAGTTTCAGAAGGTCTTCATGATGTGGACATTGCTTTCCTGCCCAGCATGGTAGCCTGCCAGATATTGCATCACACTGTCTGACTGAGCCACATCCAATACTCCAAACTCTGCAGACACTGTGATGCTTTTGACTTCTGTACTTTCGTTCACATTGTGTAGCTCATCTAAAATACCCACTCAAGCCTGTCTACTTTCCCAACCTACGAAACATTTCATTTTTTTTTTCTTTTCTGATACCAACAACAAGAATGAGAACTTGCTGTGTAGTTATTTCCTCAGTTGAAACATTTCCCCTTGGAGGGAAGCAGGAGAACCATAAGACTCAGGAAGCTAAGGAAACTTAAGGGGCAGGAAACTCTAGAAATTTACAAGATTTAAAAAGCTGACAGTTTCGAGCCTACAAGATCCTGGGAATTGAGTTTGGCTGGTGCTTGCCTAACATGCAACAAGTTCTGGATTTGATCCCCAATATATGGTAAGACAAATATGAGGGTACACACTAATCTCAGAATTTGGAGGATGGAGGGAGGATCAAGACCATCATTTGAGTTTGAGTTCAGCTTAGTGTGTAGGGGGGTGATGTAGGAGGTTTAATTACCAAACAGTGATCACTTTTCTAACAAATCTGACAGTCTTCAGATTCCAGATGAAAATATTTTAGCAAACTTAATTTAATCCCTAGAGATAAAAATTCTAAAATGTATTCTCTTAAGTTATTCCTCATCATAGGCACCATGAAGCCTAAAGCTAAAAGTGTTTTTAAAGCATCATGGCACCAACATTCTGTGGTAATTACCTTGATCTGTATAGATGAATTATAACCCACAAATCTTTTTCTGCATTTGTAACTTCATTCACATACTGATTTCCAGAAATTTCTCTCAGTTCTCCAAATTTTTGTTTCTTCTTAAGTGCTTTCCATTCCTTTAACCGCTTTTCTCTAATTGAAACAAAAAATGTTAGGTAAGTGTTATATTCTTTTACTTATTATGTATTCATTCTCTGTGTGTGTGTGTCCATCCTTCCATCTGTCTGCATGTCTGTGAGTTTATGTGTTCCAGGCCTTGGATTTCCTGGCAGTGGAGTTATAGGCAGTTGTAAGCCTATTGGGGGGGGGGGTTCTTGAAACTGAATGTTTCAGCATATGCATATATGTTTTGCGTATGTGCACACAGGTGTATGTACATCCCTGTGCACACCAGTGCACATGTGTGGAGATAGGGAACATCTTGTAGAAGTTGGCTCTCTCCTTCCAGCAGGTGGGTCCCAGGGAACAAATTCAGGCCATGGGCTTGGTAGCAAGTACCTCTATCCACTGAGCCATCTCAGTGGTCCTCGTTTCCTACATTCTTGATGTCCTGGCACCTATAACCTTGCTAATCCTTTAGGGAATACTCATTTTAGAACTGGCTGGTTCTGAGAAAGAAAGAACCAACATGTGCCAGACAGCACATTCTTCAAAGGCAAACCAGCCAACTCAGAAAGCACATCCTTGGTCATTTTTTATTTCCTCTAATTTTTTTGAAGCAAGGTCTAGCTATGTCCCTGAGACTGGTCTTACACTCCTGGGCTCAGATAGTCCTTTCAAGTGTCTGGAGCTTTGAGCATGTACCACCATGCCTGATTTCAGTGGCCTTCCCCCCTACCCTTGTTGCTTGCCCTAGTCATTCCAGAACCTGTTACCAGATAACTAACAACAGACCTACCCCAGAGCCCACCAAAATGATTCAAACTAGCCAATCATAAGCCTGTTTACCCCTGTCTTACATGTTCTTTCCCACAGAAACCACATGAAAGGCTGGGTCAGAGATTTTTCTCCCTTGCTGCTTTTGATCCTGACCGGTTCAGGTGCTTTCCCTTTGTGGGCCCATGTGCCAGGGTGCACTCTCTCCTCTTGAGAATGGTAACTGTTCAGTGGCAGCCACCTCCCAATCATACTTGTGTCAAAGCAAACAACTCCCTCGCACACTTCAGAACACACTGGCCTCCTTTCATTTGGTAGAAGCATGCCAGATGAAAACTCGTTTTACGTAACAATGTAGCCAAACACAATGGCATCCAAAGAGAATAATAATGCAGACCTAGGTCTACTAGTGGTACAACTACCAACTTCTCTCTTCCCACTCATTTTCCCTCCCTAGTTCAATGGAAAGGTTAACATATGGGTTAATCCTGCCATCAGGAAGACACCATTTAGTGGCCTGCATTTTTCACTTTACAATCAAAGCCAGTTGGGGTTCATGAACACACACAGAAAGCCCTCTAGTGATTTTAAGCAGAAAGGAAATTAATTTGGGAAATTAAGCACTTTGCAAACTCACTGAAATGGTGGAAGGAGTAGACTACTAGGCTGGGCAACCAGGAATGACTCCCAGAACAACACTGCAAAACTGGTCTGCCAAGGCTTTCTTTGCCACGATCCAGAAACTGGGGAGTCTGGATTCCAATTGTTGGCCCAAGTATTACATTACTGTGAGATTCGAAGAGGCACAATGGCAACTGCTGGCATGAGGAACCAGTCTCCCTAGCAACAATCTGAGGATGAGAAACTGCTGCCAGAACAATGGCCCCTGAATTATGACGCAAATTCTAGGTTCACACCACTTAAATGGACACTTTAGGCTTTTTTTTTAAACCCCTGCTTTCTTCCTTTAATTTAGCTCTGAACCCAATACTCTGTGAGTATGTTAGCAGAACCTGAAACACATCTGCTGCAATAGAGTCTGAGACATGCAGCTTTAGCTTCTAGCTTCTGCTCTACTGTAACATGCGTCAAGAGAAAGAGGAACGTATGTCAAGGAAGACAGTTTAGCATTTGCCACAAAAAATATATATGCAGATATGTTCATGGCCACATTTATACATTTAGACATTTCTTCTTCCTTTTAGCTACAGGAGCCTCTGGGTTTAAGTCACTTGCTATTTCATAGCTGGTTACCTACCAATGCCATTTTGTCTCTAATTTCATGAATAAGATATTTTTCACTTCTTTATCTTACCCGGAGGCTTTGCTAGAACCTAACCATCATTATAGATTCCTCTTTGGTGGCTTGCAAGCTTCCTTCTGAGAGGAGATGGTAACCAACGAGAGGTGTAAAGTGGTATATTCCTCTCTGGTAAACAGTCCTAAAGCGTCTGTGCCATCTTCCACACTGATCCCTGACTCACATGGGAGGAGGTACAGGATTCTGAGGTGACATAGCCCTAAAGTGCCCAGGTCACAGTCACTGCTTGGGAAAGAGATGCTCAAGGGAGCTGTAGGAGATAGGATCAAAAAGTTCAGGCACCATCACCATGTTATCACTCAAACCTTTTAAATTTATTTTCATTTCATTCATGTGCATGAGTCTTCTGCCTACATATAGATCTGTGTACCACTTGCATGCATGGTACCCATGGATGACAGAAGAAGGGGTCAGAGGGTTGTGATCCTCCATATGCATGCTGGGAAACCAGACCCTCTGGAAGATTAGCTAGTGTTCTGAACACTGAGCCACCTATTTCCCCAAACAGCATCATCAAATAGAAACCAAATCTTCAACTATCTGAGCCCAAAAGAAAAAAAAAATCCTGCACATTACAAGTGCAACACTCCAGGAGAATCGAAAAGAAAATGTACTAAAATAAAAAACACACCAGAACCAAAAAAAAAAAATAAAAATCAGAAAATCAAAAGGCAGAACTATTGCTATTATTAACCCAGAAGAGCATAGATGTAAAAAAAAAAGAAGGAGGAGGAGGAGGAGGAAGAGGAGGAGGAGGAGGAAGAGGAGGAGGAGGAGAAGAAGAAGAAGAAAAAGAAAGTGAACAAGGCCTAAAGGACCTGTGGTCAACTGTCCAGCAGGTCAATATACTATTCTAGGAGCCCAAAAGGAGCAGACACGGAGAAAGAGAGCATTTTCAGAATTAATGGCACACATCTTCCCAAATGTGATCTAAGACAAAGGACATGAGTCTAAAATTCACTTCAAGTAGGACAAACCCAAAGATACCCACATTGTGACAGAGCAGAGTCAATGGTACAAGCACCAAGAAGAAATCAAGTTATGGCATAAAATATGTTCTTGACAAGGTTTAACAAGCCAATTTCTCAAGTATCAATCCCCCAGCAACACAATACTATACCTGTATGTTTCAATAGCTTTTATGTCTTCTTCATCAAATTCGTCCTCAGCTTCCTTCAATTGTGCAAGTGTCATCTTCTCATACGGTTTAACTAAAACATAAATTTCAGGTCTAAACATTATTTTTACTTTATAACCAACTTCTAGAAAACAAAACAAAAACACACAACCCTAACAGCTTAAGTAACAGAGATCAACAATATCTTCAACAAACATGTATCAAGCAGCTAAAACACGGTTACACATTGCAGAAATTGTAATACTAGCATGTTCGATTTCCTCAAAGTTCACAGAACTGAAAAGATACTTTCTAGAATAGCTGGGAAAATCAATTATATCCTTAAATTTAGGTTTCTCCCAAGTGTATTAATGAAGATCTCTATCGGATGAACAAAAGAGAAGGCAATCTCAAGGTAGAGGGACACGGCAAAAGGAATCTCACCAGGTTTTATGAGCACTTTTATTAACTGGCATGTGCCTTCCCACACACTAATTGGCTATTTTAGGCAGCAATCTTCTAATTTTGAGTGGACAGGCAGAGCTAAGATGAAATGATATCTAACTCTCTCTCTCATGTTCATGAAATGTATCTTACTACCTTTGTTGTATCACCCCTCAGTGCAGCCCGTCAAGTGCACACTATACCCATTGCCTCCTGCTGTAAGCGTAACACCATCTCTTCAATTTCATCTTTTGGTTCTTCTTTTGGAGGAAGAATGCCAAAATCTCTTAAAATTTCATTCCATTCTGTATCTTCATTTGGATCCTACACACACAAAGAGGATACTCTATTAGCAAAGTTGTGCATTGTAAAATGTGCTGGTAAAACTGACTGGTGGGTGGTGTGCTCAAATACAAAGCTGTTCATGGACTCTACAGCTAAGGTTTGAAGAACAGACCTACTTCTCCCACTAAGAGTGAGACCGCACACTTTGATTAATAGGACACAATTATCCTTGGTATTACAGAGAGGCTTGTAAAAAGATCAACTTAGGGGCTGGCCAGATGGCTTATCAGGTAAAGGCACTTGTCACAAAAGCCTGGTGACCTGGGTCAGTTTCCAGACCCTGCATAAAGGTAGAAAAACGACTATACAGGGTTGCCCTCTGACCTCTACTGTGACACATGTGCCCCACCCACATCATGCACACACATACAATAATAAATAAATTTCAAAAATCAATTACACCATATATATAAAATTCTAAGAAAGTAAACTTAGAAGAAGTCACAGAAAATATACTTCGACTACAGTAAACAAACCCAATTTATGATGTCCAAATGTGTGTTGCTCTCTGTGTTCCAGACTGTCAGGTGAACTTATTTCTATTTCAAGGTGCATAGATTCAAGAATTCTCATGCTTAAATATGAGAGGCTAGGCTTCCTGGCTTTTGTAACATGCAAAGATCCAGAGAATGATACTGAGGTTTAAGCTTCAAGCTGAAGATCAGAAAAGCAAAGCAGCCAAGGCACTACCTCTTACCTTTACCTCTGGCTGAAAGGACTGATTCTGTCTCCACAAGCTCTCACCAAGCTTCAGATGCTGCCTCTCCTCAGAGTACCTAGAGAATCCATCTCCGCATGAGACCCTTTGCTCTTTTTACCTCCCTAGTGCTGGGATTAAAGGTGTGTGTGAGCCATTTCTCTTTAGGACTGCATCTATTTTGTGTAGCTCAGTGTGGCTTTGAACTAACAGAGATCCATCTACCTCTTAAACCTGAGTCCTGAGGTTAAAGGTTTATACCACCACTGCCTAGCTTCTATAGCTAACTAGTATGGCTGCTTTGCTATTTTGATCTCCAGTGGCTTTAATAAATCATAAACAATATATCACCACAGGCCTTGATGAAGAAAGCTACCATATTCAGAAATATCCTACAGATAGAATCATATATCAAGAAAATGTGGCCTGGCATGGTGGGTGCATGCTGTTAATCCCAGCATTTAGGAGTCAGAAGCAGGCAGGCCTCTGTGAGTCCCAGGTCAGCTTGGTCTACACAGTGAGTTCTAGACTAGCGTGGCCTACATGGTGAGACACTATCACAGGGATGGGAAAAAGAGAATGTGGTTGCATGCAGTGATGAAATGCTGAGGTCTGGCTCACAGACTGATTTCAAGTTCCACCTTGGCTGCCAAATGAGTTCTATTCCAACATACACATGAGACCCAGTCTCAAAAGCAAAACAAAACTCAACAACAACCAAAAGTCAAAACAAGAAAGAAAGCAAAAAATAAAGAAAGAAGGCATGACTAAGAATAAGCTAGAAACTAAGTTCTAAAAGCAAAACAATTATAACTGGATCCTACCAACAGCTGTGTAGGTGTTCTTCTCTGCTTCAGTCAGTCAAATGGCAAGCTAAAAACTGTAAGATTTTGTCTATGCTTCCCCATGATGCATCAGATATGCATTTTACTTGTCTTGCCTAAACTCACTGGGAGTTCTGAAGCTGTGGAATATTATCTTCCAATAATTCTAGAAAATGCACAGAAAATTAGACCACCAGCTCCCAAATAATAACATGGAGACTTTTTATTATAGTATGAAAACTCAGCTTAGGTTTGTTCCCAACTAGCTCTTATAACTTAAATTAACCCATTTATATCAATCTACTTTCTGCCACATGGGTCATTACCTCTCCTCAGTCCTTTATGTCTGATTTCTTCTGAGTCTCCCTGGAGAATCCCCACCTCTTAGATTTTTCCCAGAGTTCCTATCTCTGCCCAGAAGTCCTGCCTATCCTCTCCTGCCTAGCTATTGGCTGTTCAGCTCTTTATTAAACCAGTCAGAAGGTGCCTTAGGCAAATGAAGTAAAACAGACACATCTTCACAGTGTGCAAAAAGATTATCCCACAACAGAAAATTTTTCTTCAAATATCCCTCCACTTCTTTTTTTAATATTTTCCTATTCCTATTTTATTGGCATTAAAAAAAAAAACTCATCCAAGGATATTTTTAATTTCACAAGTTCTAGTTAGCTTTTTAAGAGTATTTTTATTGCAAAAATGCTTTATTTCAATTTCAAAAGCAATGATGATTTTCTGACATGTCTGGAATTACTACTTATTAAGTACCAGCTTAAATTTTCATAAAATGAGGCTGGAGAGATAGCTTAGCATTTAAGAGTACTTGTTGCTCTTGCAGAGGACCTAGGTTAGGTTCCCAGCAACCACATGGTGGCTCACAGTTATCCCTAACTCCAGTTTCAAGGCATCTGACATTTTCTTCTGGCCTCTGAGAACACTGGCATGCACATGGGGCACAAACATACATGTTTGCTGTCCTAATTAGGTTTCTATTGATATTATAAACATGAAAATCATAAGCAACTTGGAAGATAAGTGTTTACCTCACCTTACAGCTTACAGTCTTTTGCTAACTGGGAAGTTAGTGATTCCCTAGTGTATTCATTTCCTTTTCTCCTTGGCGTTTGGAATTATACATTCATAATTTTTTTCTTATTTTACATATGGATCCCAGTTCCCTCTCCCTCCCTCCTTCCTTCCCTCTCTCCCTCCTACCCTCCCATGCCCCTCCCCCCATTTAGAATTTTTAAGACACTAAAAATGTAGAGAATAACATATATCAGGGTCTTATCAGCTTTTCTCAGTTTTATGGATTTTGAAAACAATATTGTCCTTGAAGTAACAGATGGCTTTACCCACAATATACACATCTTTTGTCTCCCTAAGATCATTTTTGAATTAACCTCTGATGGCAACAGTGCCATGTTTTCAATGAATCTGGTGTTGAGGTCTAAGACAGAAGAATGGCAAACCAGTGTCTTAGTAGCATCCAGGTTTCAACCCAAAGGAGCAGAACCTGGCTAGAGCTCATGAGCCTGAACAGAATGTACTAAAGTCATTTTATTTTTTTGTCTTCAAGATTATCTATTTATTTATTATTTATTTGTGTGTGTGTGTGTGTGTGTGTGTGTGTGTGTGTGTGCCTGTGCATGTGCATGTGCCTTGTAAATCTATGCCCACCATATGCATGCAGTGCCCCCAGAGGCAGGAGCCATCAGAATCCCTGAAATGGAGTCACATATGGTTGTAAGCCTCCTAATATGGGTGCTGGGAACCAATCCCATGATCTGTAGAAGAGTTGCAGGTATTCTTAACCACTGGGCCATCTCTCCAGCCCATTTTTATTTTTTTAATTGCAAGTATTTTTTTCATACAATATATTATGATCATGGTTTCCTCTCACTTAGATCCTCCCAGATTCTTCCAACCCATCAATTGTCACACCTTCAGAAAATAAACAGGCAAACAACAAAACCAAAAGAAAAGAAAAGAAAAAGCATGATATACACAAAAACATACACGAAAAATAAAACTCATAAAAAACACAAAATTGCTGGGTGGTGGTAGTGCATGCCTTTAATCCCAACACTCAGGAGGCAGAGGCAGGCTGATCTGTGTAGTTTGAGGCCAGCCTGGTCTACAGAGCGAGTGCCAGGATAGGCTCCAAAGCTACATAGAGAAACCCTGTCTCAACCCCCCAAAAACCAAAACAAACAAAAGCAACTAACAAACCAACCAACCAACCAAACAAACAAACAAAAACCCCAACCAAACAAACAAACAAAAAGCCACAAAATCAGAATCATAATATATAAGCAAAAGACCAATAAAGTTTCAAAGAAAACGCCTAAACAAAGCAATATGAGACAAAACTATCTCCAAAATTCCATTGAGTTTGTTTGTTTTTTGTTGATCATCCTCTAATGGGCATGGGGCCTTGAGTGCCTCATATACCCATTGAGACAACAGTGGAGAAAACCAGTCTTTCCTTTGCCAGTAGTTGTCAGTTGGAAATAGCTTCTTGGTTAGGGATGGGAGCTCCTGTCCACTTCCCCTTCTCAGCACCAGACCGCTTCTGGGTTGGACTTGTGCAGGTCCTGTGCATGCTGCCACAGCTTTGTGAGTGCATTTGTGCATCAGCCCTGCTGTGTCTGGAAGACACTTTGCCTTGGTATTTTCTATTCCTTGCCTTCATAGTCCTCTGCCTTCTCTTCCCAGAGCCCTCAAGGGAGGGTTTGATGGAGACATTCTGTTTAGGACTGAATATTTCAAGTCTCTCACTCTCTGTACATTGTCCAGCTGTGGATCTCTACTGCAGGAGGAAGCTTCTCTGATGATGACTGAGCAAGGCACAGATCCATGACTGGAATAGAACATTGTTAGGAGTCATTTTGTTGCTGTGGTCCTTTAGCAGAGCAACAGCATTTAGTTTTCCCCTACGCCCACAGCTTTTCCAGTTAGGTTTTTTGTTTGTTATTTTTGTTGTTGTTGTTTTTTCTGATATATATATATGGAGAGAGAGAGAGTCTCACTCTGTCACCTAAATTGGCCTACAAGCCACCATACCTGAATATTAAGTATTTATAATTTGGAAAAAATACACAATATGAAGATGATCATTTTAGGCGTTTATAAGCATACAGCACGACCTAATGGAAAACAGCCATAGTCATGTACACCCATCCCCACTGCCCTTACAGGGTTCTCCAATGTTTTTGTTCTTTTTGAGACTATCTGGAACCTGGAGATCCCACATACATTCTAAGGTAGATCTTCCTATTTCTGCAAAAATAATGCTAAAATTTGACAAAAAAAAAAAAAAAAAAAAAAAAAAAAAGAATCTATAGGTTGCTGTTAAATATGTTAAGTAGTATTGATCTTTTGACATCAATGATGTAAGAAGGACCCTGAAGAAGATAACATGACAGTAATGCAAAGGGTGGGGGGACCCAGAGAGCCCAAGGGCCAGGAGGAGAAAAGACATCACCCAGCAGAACCACCATGGTGACCCAGACACACAATTGAATCTACATGTATGTATTTCTTAGCTTTTATGTCATCTTGTAACATTGTTATGGGTGGGGCAAAGATAGATTGTGAATATATATCACTTCCATTTTATCCTAAGTTATTAGCAAACCCATTACTCACCTTTAACTGATTTTATACCTTTTCCTCTTAATTAAGGCAAGCATTTGTTTCCAAGCTTTATACCTAAGTAACAGTCCATGTTCCCATCCACAAATATGGGGTATATTTCCACTTTTTATGTCATCTTCAGCTGTTTCCAACATTGTTTTATAGCTTTGTTCATATAAGTCTTCAGCCTTGTTAGTTTATCCCTTTGCATTCCATTCTTCCTGATGTTACGATAAATGGAAGTCTTTTATTGTTAGTACATAGAAAGATCTTAATAAAAACTTTATGGTCTTCAAGTACTTCCTGTAGACAGTTTTGGAAGACAATAAGCACAATTGTTTCATAACTGGCTTCTGTCCATTCTAGCACTGGAGAACCTCTGCAAGCTGACTCACTGGTTCAGGATTTCACCGCCCTTGTTCTTTGTGTGCTCTCTACACTGTTGGCTGGTTTCTGCTTGCTGTCTTTGCAATTTTATTGGTGGGATTTTGTTAAGACCACATGCAAAAATGTCTTCCTCTACAACAATGTTGTTGTAAATCCTCAGGTGTGTGCCATGGGTCACAACTACTTGAGGGGCAGCTTTGATTCCTGACCACTAAGCATCAAGATAACCTTCCCTGAATTCCCTAGGGAGAGAAAACCCTTCTGGTTGTCTCCCATTCTTGAGTGCACCATATTCTTCAATTCTTACTTACTCTGCAATTGTACCCAAGACCAAAATGCAAATTTGTAACCTACATTCCCAGGGTCAGGCAGCAAAGCACCTTTATCTACTGAGCCATCTCACCAGCTCCAGCAATCACCTTTATAGAACACACTCTGCACTACCAAATTCCCTGATGCTTTCTTTCCTTTAACATTGCTAAACTTCTTAAAAAGAGCTTGTTCTGCTTGGGTTACCTGCAAGTTTGTTGTTTGTTGTTGATTTAAAAGAACTGCCCTTAAACATTGAACTGGATCTGATGAGTTTTTCTTGATAGTGAGTGCAAAGAGAGGTCGATGTGCTGTTGTTCTCTGTTGGTTTCACTTCAGCAGGATTCCTGAAAAGCAGTTGCTGCAAAGCAGGATAGACTGCAATGCCAGGCTAATTGTACAAATGTACTTGCAAACAATGGTCCAACATGAAAGGATTTGATGACGCATGAACTCACTTTTAAAAAGCTTAATCAATTGTATGGTCTACAAAACCACCCAAACTAAGTATGGTAAACCAAGAAAATCCCAATGCATTTCACTAGGGAGCAAGCAAGAGTAGGCTCTTATTAAGTCAGTAAGTGAGGGTTTTACTCTGAGAAAGGAGAAAAGGAAAGGAAGAAGGGATGGATGGAAAAAGGGAGGGAGAAAGGGAAGGAAGGAAGGGAGGGAGGAGGGAAGGAGGGACCAAAGGAGGAGACTCTTTTTCTAAATTAAAATTTTATTATAAAGAACTCACAAATTAAAAAAATCACCATGTGACATTTTGGCAAAGACTTGAAATGTATAGCTGTAGTTTAACTTTTTCTATTCACAAAAAAATTTAAGAGAGAAGAGGAAGAGGAGGAGGAGGAGAAGACAACCTGCAGGAGTTGGTCCTCACTTCCCACCATTGAAGGTCCCAGGGATCGAAGTCAGGTTTTCAGGCTTGGCAGCAAGCACATAAACCCACTGAACCAACTCACAGGCCAATGGATTTCACTCCCCTACAGACTTTTTAAAAGCATGTAAAGGAGAGAGGACAAACTGAATCCACTTGGGCCAATGCTATTCCTTTCTTAACTCAAAAGTAGCACAGCATTTAAATGTCCAGGAGTCGGGGGTGAAAGGCAAGATTGGACAACAGAATGTCTCCTGCAGCCTCTCATGAAAACTAGCATTCACACAAAACTAGACAGAGAAGCACAAAATAGCACACCACCACGAACAAACGTAAGAATGTAACCATTGGAGGGCCCACACCACTCCATTTACGCCCCTCAACTTGGAGCTAGCTGGCTTATCACTCTCAGGGCTCCAAGGCTACCCACAGGCCTGCCCCTCACCTGCATGATGTTCCCTTGTGCCCCTTATTAGGGGTCAAGGTCCCAAACTTCCTCCAGACTGGCAGAAGGAGCCAGCCACCTCTGGCTAGCGTTTCTAACGCCCCAGGGGCAGGGCAAAAAGAAACAGAACTCTCTGCGCATGTGCAACGGTAAGATCAGTTGCCAGGTAACACAGAGGCCTGGTTCCCAGGTCTGTGGACCCTGGTGCATCAGGTCCTGGGGCTCTCCTGTTGGTCACATGGTGATTGTCTTGCTGCCATCCCACCCTCCTCTGTCATCGCCATGTTCAAGCCTACTCCTAAAGTTTGAATCCAATATTCATGGGAAAACAAAACAAAACAAAACAAAACAAAAAAAAAATCCCTTGCATGGAGAACCCCTTCAGAGGAATTCTTAACCTGGGCCGGTTGTCTCTTTGGAGATGGAATTTTAAGGGGCATCTAAGCACTTGCCTCAATTTGTGAGTATAATTTTTGTGTGTGCCCCACACCACCCCCCTTTTAACTTAGACCAAAATTTTTCATCACTTTCTCAATGAGACTATTGTAAGACCCTCAGAATGAGGAGTCTTCCAGGTTCAGTTGATACCCCAAGAACTCAATGTCCAGTCCAGTTGCTGCAAAACGCTTTAATGAACAGGAAAAGTTTGTGCAAACGGGCTCCTCCAGCACACAGGCTAGGGAGAAGCCCTCTCCCCTGGGCCCAGGTGTTTTTAAAGGCAAACCCACAAGCTTAGGGAGGGGGTGGGACCCTCTGTCCATTGAGTACATGACCCTTGGAGGCCAATGGTCTGCTATTAGGGTCAACAGACCTTAGGGCCTCAGGGTGTGCTAATTAATTTTGTCTGGGCAAACCAGAGTTACAGCTATCTCTTTGTTTCCTAAGGACCCTATTTACCACCTGCTGACTCACAGGAAAGGAGGGGCAGTGTGAATTCTTATCTCAGGGCCTTGTGAGAGGAAGCTAGCAAATTCCAAGGAACAGATATTGGTTTCCAGGTTAGTTCATCATTAGCATTACTTTTTTGGTCCTTCACTATAAGCCTCACCTGGCACCACGTGCTTGTGATACTAACCTGGTGGTTAAGGAAGGAGCATGGGAGCCAGAGGTCAACCCGGGCTACATACTGGGAACCTGTCTCAAACGAAAACAAAACAAAATCACTAGAAGAAAAGACCCCCCATCACCCTCCTTGAGTAACTCTGGCTTAGGTAGGAGACATAGACCGTTGGGTTTCTCTGTGTTTGCATCAGGGAAAGCATTTTACTAGGAAGAATTTACTAGGGGAACAATCATGCAAGTTTATGCACACGGTCCCAGAAATGTACTCGAGGATTTTAAGACACAAGAATAAATGTACTTAGTAACACATTTTTTTTTTTTTTAAATTTTTCAAGACAGAGATCTGCCTGCCTCTGCCTCCCGAGTGCTGGGATGAAAGGCATGTGCCACCAATGCCCGGCTAGTAACACAATACTAAATTTGAGTTCAGCAATGGAGCAATTCATCTGCAGTGACCAGTGCAGACTAATATAGGTTCCAATACAGCGTCTACACTCCAAGCATTCTATAGTGTTTGTGTGTGACACACTTGAGTGAAAACGTCAGTCTTTGTAACCAGGTCTTGGTATTTCTGCTTTTCACTCTTCCTCTCTTTTATGTGAAGTTCCTTAAAATACACAAGCAATTCATGTCCATCTGGATTTTTAAGGGACCCTCCTGCCTAATATTCAAAATTGGATCAAAGGAGATTGTAATGGGAGGGGCAATAAAAGATACTGCATGTTTTTTTTTTTTCCTCATATGCAGTATATAGATACAGCCAGGTAACATGAAACCAGAAGAGGGATTCTTTGGCAGGGAGAAGGGAAGGAAGCAGAGTAGCAGGAAGAGTGGGGGTAAACATGAACAAGAACTATTAATATGTATGAAAACACCATAAGATTTGATGTATGTTAACTAAAGAAATTATTCTAAAATCCAAGGTAAGAGAACTACAGTGTCCAGACACAGCCAATGCTGCCCTGAGCACTCGTGGCTTTAGAGCAGGGGCCCTCACTGCTCTAAGGCTAACCCTGCCTGCCGATGCAATATGCTTTTAAGGGAAGGACATGATGTGTTTTTTTTTTTTTTTTTCTCAGTTTTTTCTTAATTTATGTCCTTCTCAGGGCTTGGTAGGAAGAGTATTCAGGGACTTTCTTCATTAATTTCTTCATGAAACATGATATCTAAATTCCCCAGGTATGATTATCATCAACCCCCCTGGAAAGACTTTTTTTTTTTTTTTTTTTTTTTTCTGGTAATGAACAAGGTTGGCAGTCCTTCACAGATGTCAATGAGAAACAACTTCAGATAAACTAATTACTACCAGTTTCCAGGGAAAGGCCTATGATATATTTGTAACAATCTGAAATCTACTTTGCAATATGTAAATCATAGCTTGCCTACTGGGACTTTGAATAAGTCATCACGCATGTAATTTCCACTGGTTTTCTAAGATAGCTAGCACTGTATTTTGTTGTTGTTTCATTTGGTTTTGCTTTTTAGATAGAGCCTTGTTACACAGCCCAGGCTAGCTTTGAACTTGCCTGTCTCAGCATCCCAAATGCTGCAATTAAAGACATGGACCATCATGACAGTCTGCATTTAGATACTTATAAGAGCTGATAATTTTATCACTGATGTAACCCAAAAATTGAATAAACTAAATGTTCAGCCAACTCTCTATGAGTGTCTTTAGCAAATGCCTAAAATGCATGCAGGACTTATGGAGCATCTTTAGGTGCAGCTTTGCCATGAACACTTGATCATTGTAACACAACATGGATGGTTTTTAAGATGCTGTTTTATTTTCAACACATAAAACATTATAATCTCAACTATCACAGAGAATGTTACAATACAGGGGTTGTAACAGAGTAAATTTAGGAAAATGTGAGTACATTATATATCCCATCACACTATTTCAATGGAAAATTAGTTGACATCATTAAGGCAGAGCTAGCTGATAAGAAACAAGTAACCGGGCCAACAGCATTGTATCAAATACAGAGTCTCTGTGCATTATTTGGGGCTGGCGCGGCAGCGGGACAAGACCAGCAGCCACAGGCGGAAAAACCATACTCGTTACAGACATCCTGTAAAAAGAAAAAATAATTAGATTCACATATATGTGACTCTATAAACATGTACATACAAGCTTATATAGACATTTCTATAAATTTTTGTTATAGTATAATAACATTGGCAGTTGAGATTATTTCCCAACTGTTCTTTATCCCCCACCTCTACCCCATGTATATCTTACTATTTGCCACTTAATTACTCTCCGATGTCACATTTATTCTACTGCCGTGGAATAATTTCTTTGTACAACATGAAGATTTGTCTCTGTGACTGGTTTAATAAGCTGACTGTCCAGTACTGAACAGAATAAAGTTAGGTGGGAAAGTCAAAGAAGGGAGGAGTCGCTATCCAGCCAGAGAACAAGTATGGCACACAAAATGGGATAGGGGTAAAAGCCACGAGCCTCAGGGCACATCATAGATTAATAGAAATGGGTTAGGTTGTAAGAGCTAGTTAGTAACAAGCCTGAGCTATTGGCCAAGCATTTATAATTTCTATTAAGTCTAAGAGTCAGTTACTTGGGAAGTGGCTGCTGGTTATTTGAGAACATGAAAACTCCATTTATATTCTTCACATCTGTATGTCTCAATAGGTTATAATATTTAATAATATGAGAGTAGTTGACTAAAAGCTAATCAATTCCAATAAGAATTATAAGTGTTTCAAGTTTTCCCTACATCCACCTTAGACCAGTTCACCTATAGCCTCATGGAGAAGGCCCTGGAACTGCTGAATGCTGCTGTACTTAATCCAAACCTTAATTGGGCACATTTTGACTCTGTACCAAGGTTAAGTTAGTCCTCCAACTCCTGCTAAGCTCCTTACAACTATTCATATAGTGGGTAAAAAAATCTCAAGTGCTGAAACTTAGTTTCAAAGAGTTCATTGTTAAAGAAGCCATGCTGAATGGCTAAATTGCCACTGAGGTGTGGGTGAGATTTTTCTATCTGAGCTCATTAGCAAATGTGACATCACTGGCTACAGTCCCTGAAGTCTGACCTTTTATATATCTGATTTTATTTAAGTTCTCATTTGAATGTTCTTGGACCACATGTGATGAGACTGAGATCTGAATAAAATAAGAGCTATCAAAAAAGGTTTTCTTGTTAGTTTATTTTTATATCTGCCATGATATCATCTAGAGCTTATACTTATTTTCTTACTGTTATTAGGATAAAGCAAGAGATTAGGTACTCAGATGACAAAATCACGAGGGAAATGACTGTTGAATTACAATTCTATTTATAAATAAAATCCTGTGCAAAATAGACTAAGCAGACCAGATCACAAAGCTGTATGTTCTCAGCTTCAGAGAGAAGTTCATGCAAAATTGATCAAATTCTATTTCACTTTGTGAATTTGTGCAGTGTTCTTGGTGATTTCCACTTCTCTAGTTGTTTTAAGGTCTGTCTTTTCATTTCTGTTTTTGTACACTTATACTTTTGTCTTTTTCTAGAATAAGCTGGTGGAATAGCTTATTTTTTTCCCAATGACCCAGACTTCTATGCTTTAAGGAATTTCTGCTTTGCTCTCTTTTAGTTATTTTAAGAATTCATGTGTGAAGTATGGGGTACTTATGGAGGTCAGAGGAGAGTGTCAGATCCTTAGGAGCTAGAGTTAATTATGGGAAACTGAGAGCTTCTCAGTGTGGGCTGTGGAACCAAATTGAGGCCCTCTGCATTAACAGTTAGCACTCTCCCTCTCTGAGCCATCTCTCAGTGCCCCCGGCCCACCACTCTTTGAGGCAGGGTTCTCATGTAACTCCACCTGTGCTGAGACCAGCTGGGTGGCTTTGTGTATGCTGGGCCACCACTCTACTGATAAAGATTTCCTGAGAATAAGCTATTTGGAAGACAAGCACATGCCAGTGACTCCTGACCCCCTCCAGTGAACACAGACTAACAACAGGAATGAAATCCCTGACATATTATGATGTGCTCAATAAAAGATGATGCCGTCATTATCTCCAAAAATCTTTTGATGACAACTCTTGTGTCACAGACCAAGGAATACTAGGATCAAAGCAAATCCAGCCCTAAAATACCATTATTTCCCATTCCTAAAACCTGCATTACCCCTACAATTGTAGTATTTATGTATAATGTTAGTGTCCACATGCAATTGAACAATAGAAACATTTGAGTATAGTTTAGCTTGTAACAAACAGAAACTTATGACTTGAGTTCAGTTGTGAAATACATGCTGTTATTTATTTACTTATTTTTAACACATACCATTTTAAATGAAACCTGTTGACCTCTTCCCATTTCGTGGCTGCAAAATAATAAATTAGAAAGAAATCATTGTAACTAATGATGTGAAGTAATTGCCATTGAAAGAAGCCTAATGATATAAAGTGTCCTTAATTTGCATTGGGGTCACCTGACAAGCTTTGGCCAGAACAGAAAGGGCTAGTTGGTTCCCACAGCTGCAGTTTCTGATTTACCAAGTCTGAGATGGAACTTGGAAAAGTGTATTTCTACCAAGTTCTGAGACATTGCTAAAGCTACCAGAACCACAATAAATTAAAAACTACTCAATTTTGCTTATGGGGAACCAACATCTGATAACAAGTGTTCTCAAATTTCATCTTGATATGAACCAAAGTTAACTTTCTGAAATCATAGTAGTTCTGTTTTATATATTCCTATTGTTGGTCTAGTCCTGCAATTCAGTCCAGTCGATTATCCAATGTACATTCTCTGATGCAAATCTTTCCACAGGAATACCATCTGGGACTTCAGCATAAAGTTGAAATTTCTCAGCCAAATAATTTCATTGAGTACATCATCCTGCCTAATCTTCAGTCTTCACACATAAAGTCATCTCGGTGTCACTTCCAGTCTCCAGCTAAAGTGTTTGTCTCAATTCAGCTAAAGGTGACTTACATTGGATGTGGCAGGTTTTATGCAAATAAACTTCATATAATATAAAGGACTTGAGTATTCCCTGATTTTGGTTTCTTTAAACAATCCCCCATGGATACCAAGGGGTGACTATACTTAGCTGTTATTTATCTATTTGTTATATCAGGCTATATAAGTCTACGGTATCAAAGCTGAACTCTACCTTCTTTTAAAATATTTTATTTTACTATAAAGTATGTATGATGTGTGTATGTGTAGTGAGATAGTCCTTCTGTAGCACTGACCACGCCCATTGGGGGGTGGAGCGATGGGCGGAGGTGACCTGAGGAAGGAGGTCGGAGGGGGCCAGGAAGGCGCTCTCTCTTTCTGGCGTGACTTGGACAGGAGATGATCGGGTTGAATTTCCTGGTGTTCATCTGTCTAGGTTGTAAGTTATTTCTCCCTGAATAAACATCTATTCGGCCTATTTGTTTATCCTGATCCTTATTTACCGAAATATCTGGTGTCAGAAGTGGGATTTACCTGGGTTTTGCCCCAAGGCGGCAGAAGCCGCCCCCCTCCCACACCCCCCAATGGGCGTGGTCAGTGCTACAGAAGGACTATCTCACTACATGTATGGGTGCATGGATAGGAATGCAGGTGCCCACAGAAGTCAGGAGAGAGCTGCAGATGCCCTGGAGATGGAATTACACATTGTGACCTTCCTGAAGGAGATGCTGGGAACTGAACTCTGGTCCTCTGTAAAAGCAGTAGGGCTCTTACCCTTATCTTTTCACTCCCATCTACCGATACTGTCCCTAGCATCTATTTGAAGTCCAGTAAATAGTTGCTGAATACATTTATTAAATGTTTAATTTTCTGGTTATGTTAAGGAAGTACATATTGCACAAAACATGGCCATTTAGAAACAAATTTATACACAAATGCAAAATAATAAATGTGGTCACAGAGCTATCTCTACTTGGAGTTTTTATTAAGATTGAAGTTTGTCAGCATAGTTACAGCCCTTGCAACCTACTGAATCAAAACTTTAATATGAAATTCCTTGTACTTGTAAGATAGCTTTAAAAATATGTTTCCTTTACACAAAACATCATGAAATTAAACTGGGAAGTAGATGAATGTCATTGGAGAATTTGCACAAGGGATTAGTAAAAGGGAGATTAGAGATGATGCGGTTTAAAACAATAGGGTAGTGGCAGAAGTGAAATTGGGTTAAGACACTGGAAGTAGCCAGGCAGTGGTGGCACATGTGGGAGACAGAGGCAGGTCAATCTCTGTGAGTTTGAGGTCAGCCTGGTCTACAGAGAGAGTGCCAGGACAAGCTCCAAAGCTACACAGAGAAACCCTGTCTTGAAAAACAAAAACAAACAAACAAACAAACAAACAAAGACACTGGATGTCAAAAGTCTGTAGTTCACTGCAAAACATCACTAAAATGAGTTGGCTCAGTGAACATACATTAAAAATACTTGATCAATTTTCATATAAATTGATCATAAAATGCTTTATATACATACCCTGAATAAAAAATATCCCCTACTTTGGCCAGCAAAAGGACTTTGGAATTCCTCCTGGAAGAAATAAGGATGACATAACAAATTAAGCAACATTAAAACAAGTCCAAATCCCTCTTAAGAGTGTAGTGAAGTTCAATATTATTTTCAGTTATTCCAACTCAACAAAAGGTGCCAAAGGCTTGAGTGGAGAATTCATGTCATAAAGAGTGGTTATGTTTACATCTGAATCATTTCAACAACCACCAGAACCCCCAGAATGGTGCATTTAAAAATATCCTCATTATAGATTTTCTTTTAGGAATGTTGTCAGGTCAGTAAGTAGAAAGAAATGTCAGACACGATATATTTAAAAGTCTCTTTTTGACATTTTGTTGGAATAAACTAATCTCTTTAACATAAATGTTAGATGTGATCACATATAAACAGGAAAAATACAAGCTGGAATTCCTGTTAAAGCAAGAATATAATACTTCTACATGAAAACCGAGGGACAACTTTGGAAAATGTGTGTTTAGTCAATGCCTTGAAAGAGGTTGTCTTGATATAATTGTATGTGCAGAATGATAATGAAAACATACCAAGTAGGAACAACCATGTATTAATTACAGGCACATTATATAGTGTTACTTAAGGTTACAATTCTAAACTTAAGAATTATACACATTTAAGGTATCATTAAAACTGCTCTTAGATTTCCCTTTAAAGTTAGCGGCAAATAGCTGTATTCAACTGAAGCTAAAACTGTGAAGAATTTTTTGGAGGAAATAATGATCATAAAAAATAAATTCTGGGACATTTACTCACCTAACTGTATGCTTTTTAAAAATGTTCTTAATGAAGAGTTGAAAAAACACAGCATCAAAGCTAAGAAAACGCAGGCCTGAATTCATCTTTTAAAACTAATATATGTAATGGCAACCATATAATAATGAAGTAGCCTTCATTAAACCATTAAGGAAATATCACAATGAAAAGGCTCTTTATTTGTTCATTTGTTTATTTTTAGCCTAGACTAAGGGTCAGTGAACTGCATTGTCACCTCTCATATCAGACAGCTCATAGAAACTTATTTAACTACTGTGACTTTCCCTTTCATTAACTTGGCGTAGCAGAACCTGCGAAAGCCCAGCCAGGTTCCCAATAAATCAAAGGTGGTAATACTAGACCCAAAATGCAATGTCTCACTTCAAAACGCTACCTACGACTTTCAACACAAAAAAGCATTAGCAGTGTTCTTCACTGACCCTGGAAATTCACAATATCTAGTTAGCAATGTGTTAGCTTAGTTATATTTACCTTACATGTTGGTACTAGATTTAGGTCCTATTTTTGTTAGCCATGGGAAAAATGAAACACTGACATTTGTTTTATGCTGTGTATATTTATGACCCTTATTCTTATCAATGTTTTAACACTTGAACAAAAAAAAAATTATGCTACCCTAGCCATTTGTGAGCAAGGGTACAGGGGCAATAAATTGTCCTTGATCGGATTTCCCCTTCCTCCCTAAAGACCAAACACCCAGTAGTTCTCTTTCTTAAGCCAAGAAAACATCTGCTCAATGAGAGTGTCATGGAAGGGCGTGTATACACACTCCAGTTTTCCTCAATATCTGGGGCTGGAGCTAGAAAGGGCCAGAACACTAAGAGGGAGAAAGATTACATGATGCAATTATGCAGATGAACCAAGTATGTCTCCCAAAGACCTTGTGCTTGGTCAACAGCCTGTGGTCCCATTGAGAGGTAGGGGGAATCTTCCCATGGTGAGGCTGGTTGAAGGAAATTATGTCACTGTGTGCGTTCACTTGAAGAGAATAGGGCCACTAACCTCTTCCTAGTCACCACATAGTGAAGCTTTGTTCAGCTGAACACTCATCACCATGATTTTCTGTCTTACCACAGGTATAAAGCAATGGGGTTTGCCATGTTGACCAAAGATTGAAGCCTCTAATACTTGGTTTAAGTCATTTCCCCCATGACATGTTGTCATTGTGACAGAAAGCTAACACATAGTATGAATGTGAGGGCCTTGCCCTGAAGAAGGGTATTTTACAAAGGACCACAGCTGCAGTTTGCAGAAGGGGCTGCCCCACAGTGGCAAAGCCAGCATGCAGTTTGTGTTACGTACGGCTACCTTGAATCTCTTCATTCTTCTCTCATGCAGTTGAGGAACCAGCTGCAGCAACGGATGCACGACAGAAGACTGAGAGGACATGAACACACATGATGAGCACCAGGGCTCTTCAGCATTGGGCATTTAGATGGTTTTCTGTATGTCTATCTGTCTTTCTGTCTGTCTGTCTGCTTTTTACCCACTATGCTCACCTATCTAAGACAGCCAGTTGCAAGCCCTTTGTAGAACTGTGGCAAATAAACCAAGGCGTGGGATAGAATTTGCTAGTTCATAAACCAAAGGGACAAGTTACTAGTCCTACACTAAGATGTTTGTCATTATCTGAAGAAACATTTTTGCCAAGAGCCTCAGATCTGTTACAACTGCAACAGGTGTATCCCCAGGCTGCCTCTCTAGGAGGCAAAAAGCCATCTGTCATCTTCTACACTTACTCAAAATAATTTGTTCCAGACAAAGGCTACTTGCAAGTATCAGCTTTCCCTTACATTGTTATCTAGAATCTTGTAGCACACACACCTGGAAATCTCCTTCATCAGTTAACTGTTTAAAGTGGAACAAGAGCAAGACAACAGGGGTCACAAAGATGACAATGTGCTGTTGGTAGTGGAAAAGGTGACAATGATTCACTGTTTAAAGATGAAGAGATGTCACTCAGAAGGAAATGAAGGCACACCTGAGACACACAGCCACCTCACACAGCTGCACTTTCTTAAGGTCTGGGGAATTGAGTCTCCTCACTAACAACATTAAGTTCCTTTAACAAATGGATGCCTTTCAAAGCTAGGTAATTGATTATCCATTCATGAATGCAACTTGTGTTTGATATGTAGCTAGTCTAGCTTAAAACTTTCATCATCAGCTCAGGTTATTTGGTGTGGTATGAATTTAAAATGGAGTTCAATTCACATTTACCTTTCCACCATGTGTTTAAAATACATAGTCACTTCCATTCCATAAACTGCATAGTAGTGGATCCCAAGGTTAAGAAGAATATTATACTCAGATAATTTCTATTTATTTTTCCAGTGAAGAATATCAACCTCAGGCCATTATTTAGAGTCTACAACTATGGCACAGCCTTGATGTTTGCATTTTTTTAAATCCATGCAAAACTGAAACTAAAGAAAAATAACAAAAACAAACAAGCCAAAACCTACCACTGAAACCACATGAGTCTGATATGAAATGAATCTAGGTTACTCACTTCTGGTTACTCTGAGAATAAACTCTCACAATGAACACCTACCTAATGATAATGAAAAACCATGATTTTTACAGTTACCCATCAACACTTGTCTTTTGAAATAATTGTTTCTAAAAATGTCTTTGGATGACACTGCTTTTCTCTTGTATTAATATCACCCCAGACAATTTGTTTTGCTTATTAGTTTGTTCTTACACTTTTTTTGGCCACTAAATACAAATTGATGAAGGAGGGGTTTCTTTCTTTCTTTCTTTCTTTCTTCTTCTTCTTTTTTTTCTTACAACCATATTTCTAGCATTTAGAATTGTGTCTGACACATAATTGTGAATTAATGACTATAAGGCACATGTAGTTATTGACATGTAAAACATATACTAAATATTGATTTTTCATTCATTCATTCACTTATAAATTTAGTGGGCTTTTTCCCCCTTACGGTACTGAAGAAGGAAACACTGAGCACATCATCAGATCCATGCATAACTTTTTGAGTAAGAAATAAGAGTTTTGGTCTCATGGCATTCTAGGTAATTTTTAAAAATTGGTTTTCTCTTAAACACATGCTAGGACTACTTACCACAATATTTGAGTTTCCTGACTTCTCTGTCTTTGAATAATGAAATAAGAACTGTTAAAATAGAAAGAAGAGTTATGTATAAAACAGCTGTGGCTTTCTTTGTTCTTTTCAGGGTATATGTATTTAGGAAAATCACCTTACCCTCTTAGTATTATCTTTTTCATTTTGTTCCTAGTGAAGAGATATATATATCATTATAATATACATTATAAAGCTTTATTTTACATACTTTGAAATTATGAGATATGAAGAATTTTTAAATATGACACATTATATTTCAAACATAAAACTAAAATTGATTAACATCTATTGCTCCCCAAATAAATGAAAAATTGATTAAATATTACTTATAAAAAAGTAGACAGTGATTTTTACTACAAAATTACTTATAAGAATAACAAATTGGAAGCATGCTCAATGTTCAACAGTGGTAGAATAGGAAATTACAATATAGTCGCATATGGGGTATGCAGAGAAAACAAATAAACAGACGTCATCAACGTATTTTTAGTTGTCATCACTAAATAAAACCATGAGTTATTTTTTTTTCTGCCAAGCTTTCCTCTAGTCTTTTGTCTCTAAAATGTCTGTGCTTTAAGAGTCATATTTGTTTTTGTCTCATTTGCTCTTAGCACCAAAGAAAGATGATGGATAGATGTTACTGACACTTTTAATTACAAAAAATTACATTTTAATTAATTTGTGTGTGGGGGAACATCATAGAAAAAATAGAGTCATTTGCTGCTGAATGTGAAGTCTAGGAAAACAATGATGCCTTCAAACTATCAAAGTTTCTTTCCTTGAGTCATTGTTCGTGGAAGGTTTGGTGGCTGGAGTGTACCAACAATCAATCACAGGGTAGGTTTGAGATGTTGATGAATGTATCATTTGGTACCCAAGGCTTTCACCTTTAATACGGGAGTTTTAAAATTCGTTCAACCTAAAACACAAGCTAGAACCTTCTGGTTCATGGTATGCAGTTTCTCAGGCTTCCACCTGTCTTTACCTAGGACAAAACATTCTCCCAGAAAAATCAAATTCAAATCAGAAACCAGGACACAGAAGCAAACAGAATTTTCAAAATGACATTGACAATGCAGTTGTCTGGTTTGCTCTACCTTGATTTCGCTTGTTTGTTTTTCCCAATGCTGGTAAGAAAGCTGAGCCTTCACACATGCCAGCCAAATGTTTTTCCATTGTTAAGGTCCTGCACTATAACAATATTTAACAACTTAGATTCATTCTTGTCTCTCAATTGTACAAGTGGGTGAGAAAAAATAGTCTTTTATGTTTGAAGGAGACATGTGATTTCCTAATTAGTTGAATGTGAACTTTACCAACATTATCTTAAAACATCAGGTATCATAGAAACTGGAACATTTGTTTCTTATGCCAACTCAATGTGTGTTCTAACTCCTGCTGACACACTTCCTGAATTGGGCTTACTCTCTTGGAGGAGGAGGAATTTCAAGATGTTTGTTTAGTTAGTTGTTTGCCTACAGTACTTCAGTCTTACCTGAGGCTTCTGGATGATCTCCATCACCATATGGCAAAGCTCCCTCCATGCAGTGGATGCCTAAAGCAAACAAGAAGACATATGGGCTGTGCTTCACACTGCACCATATCTGCACAGAGGGTGAAACTTAAGATGTAGGAAGCATAAGCATATTCCATCTATGCTGCAAAGAGGGGCTTGCTGTGGTCCACTGAAACTCTGTAGGTGTCTCTCAATTTCTATTATAATAACCTTTTAGCCACTAAAACATCCTAGGGCCAGAGTGATGGCTCAGCAGGTAAGAGAGTTTGCTAGGCTAGCAGGAGGACTTGAGTTCAAATCCCTAACACCTACATAAAAGTCTTGCATAGCTGAGTGTGTCTGTAACCCTAGCATTGGTCACAGAGACAGGTAGAGTCCTGGGAGTTTGCTGGCCAGTCAGTCTAGACACAGTGACAAATTTCAGGTTCTATAAGATCCTCATGTCAAAAAACAAGGTGGACAATGGTGGTGGAAGATTCACCATGTCTTCTGGCCTCTGCTTAGGTGTACGTGGGCATGCATTCCCAAGTACACACACACTTGAGTGCACATTCGAGAAACAAACAAAAAGACCCTTCTTTTCTTCCAGCAGCTATGCACTGATGGAGGCTTTCACTGTGGTCCAGTTACATAGTTCTTGCCACTCGATGAGACATCATAGAACTCTATGACTAAGACATCCTGGGTAGTGCCAACTAGGGATTAGCCTTCCTAGCTTGTAGGGAAGTGCATGTGCATGCCAAAGCTGTGAGCCTCACTGAGCATTACTCATTACTGGCTAATTTGAAAATCCTGCAATTGCTCTCAAACAATGGGAATCAAAGGACAAGAAGCTGTGCATGGTGCACCTAATCTGAGTGCCACCCTTTCCAGGATGCTGACTGCACACCCCAGGATCAGGTTTGTCAAAGCATCAGAGCATAGAATTAGGGCAGGAATCCTGCAGTTGGCAGCCAGCTGGGCGTGGTAAGGAGTGGCACAAACGGACAAGCAGGGGCAAACCCTGTTTTGCACAGGACCTAGCACAGTCGTCCTGTGCACCACTGATCCTTAGTAGGTTCCTTTCTGAAGTCATGAGAAGCTGGGAGGTGAGGGGCCACGTAATAGTGGTTAAAGTGTGGGCTGTGAAGGTAAACAGCCTGGAACTAGACAGCAGTACAGATCCTGTTTCTACTCCACAGTGTGTTACTGTGTGTTACTGTAGGCCTGTTACTTAATCTCTCTAAACTTCAGTTTCTTCAGCCAGAAATCTGGGGTGATGTCACTGCAGGAAGTTCCTGGAAGGATTAAAGGCAGGAAAAGCTCTTTGGTTTAATTTACGACTGCAGGTATTCTCAACTTAGAACCCGAGAGAAAAGATGGCTCAGTGCTGTTTTCATTCTGACCCAGTGCACCTAATGTGGCTGCCTGTAGCTAGAGACACAATTGCAGCCACATTACAGTACCTGTCACATCTTTCCTACCTCCAGAGGTCTGTTTTTATCTTCTTCCTTCTGTCTGTCTGCTTCCCAGGCAAGTCGGTGGGGATATAGATTAATACTAAAAAATGGACCGTGTGTAGAATGGTGTTTCAATGTATTAGAAAATACTCCTCTGTACAAAATTCACATTCTGTTCTTGAAACACATGGACAAGGAACAGAGGACAGGAAATGGTACTCTTTTGTACAGAGGAAATGAGGTCCTACAAGGTGGTCATTTGTCCAGGCCCTTGTGCAATTGTAGTTGACTGTGTGGATAGATACACCTTAGTGGTCTCAGCAATGCCGGCTGTTCCTGTAGTTGGGAGTTGACTATTTTTCAGTTGTTTCATGGTGCTGGGGGTGTCACATAAATGCTGGGTTGGTGCCCTGCCACTGAGGCTTGTCCCCAACTATTGGGAGCTGAATGACAGAAGTCCTTCCTTACCTGTTCCCTTCAGGTCACTTCATGAAGTTCTGGCAATATAATCCCTAAAGTTCTTCTTTCAAATAACCCAAATAGAAATACAGTAAAACCCAAAGGAACACAAAGGAAATACTCAGCCACACCCCACGTCAAAGATGCATTTTACATGTGTAGGTTGTCTCTCCTTAGGAAACCATGTCTAGGCTCCATGGGATTTGGCAATAACACTGACCTTTCACTAGAAACATTTCAAAATAAATGCATTTTTCTCTAGTTCTTCTTTGTAAGAAGCCACTGTTCTCAACAATTCTTTAAGGCCTTTCAGGCATGGGATAGGTGATATTTTATCTTGTATTTGTGGACCTTTAATTTGGTGAAAATGGCTTGAAGCACTATTCAGATAACATAGTTAATAAAATAACAGTTAATGTGAAAATTAATATTTAAAGTATAAAGTGCATTGAAATGCATTATATACATTATAACTGTAAATGGCAGAAACAGTACATCTGTCAGGCTCTTCCTAACGGAAGGCCTGCCCCTTTCTGAATGGAGACAGAGGAGGAGTGGATGGAGGGGGAGGGGAGGGAATGAAAGGAGGACAGGGTGGGAAACTGTGTCAGGAATTAAAAATTGAATTCATTTTTTAAAAGGCACACAGAAATGAAGTCCAATAAAGAGTTAATTTGTGGAGCTGGGGCAATGGCCCAGTGCTTGCCTAACTGTGAGAACCAGAGTTTGCATCCCAGAAACCATATAAATGCAGGGTGGGTATATCAGCCCTACTTCAGACTCAGAAGATGGAGATGGGGACCCTTAGAACAAACTGGCTAACAAGACTGGCCATGTAGGCAAGGTTTGGCTTGATTGAGAGACCCTACTCCAACAAATAAGGTGGGAAAGGGATGGAAGATAATTCCTGACATTAATTTGGAGGCTTCACATGCGCCGAGTAACACAAATGCAGGTGTGCAGTATCCACATATAGTGCACACACACACACACACACACACACACACACACACACACACACACACACCATAAATAGAAAAAGATTTTTTTTAGGTTAGTGTATGTTGAAAGAGTTTAAACAAGTGATTAAAAACGTATACAGTGGGTACTGTGGATGTAAAACTGTTTCTGAATTTTAAGTTCAATACAAGGGCTTACATGCTAATACCCATCCTGTGTCACTAAAAATTAGCTTTTTAGATAAGTGTTCCAATAGGTTTCAAACTCATTTAGGAGCAAGACATTAGCTCTCTAGATAGAGCAGTAGGTACAGCATTTTTAAAAAACACAGTGCTTCTTGTGGTTTGAATTCGTCTCCCAGAGACTGACATGTATGAACACTAGGTCCCCAGTTTGTGAGACTTTGGAGGAGTCTGTGGAGCCATCGGGAGGTGGAGTTTTTGTTGGAAGAAGTGGGTCATGGAATATGGGCCTTGAGGCTTTATAGCCTGGAACCACTTCCTGTGGTTCCTGTGTACAGATGCAATGTGACCAGCCAGTGTGCTGCCCCTGCTACCTTACTTTCCCTGCCACGATAGACTATATTCCCCCAAACTGTGAGCCCGAGTAAAGCTTTCCACCCTTCAATTGCTTTGGTTGGGATGTTTTTTTCATAGCAGTGAGAAAGTAAGTAAGTAAGGCAAAAAAAAAAAATCTTGCTTCCCTTTCATGCAAACATCTCTAACTTCTGGCAGGGGAAATCTCTGAAGCTAGGAAATGTCATTACACAAGGCTGCTTCTCCACTCCTGCCAGGATCACCATATGGAGAACCTTATTAATAGTCACTTAGCCTGGGCACATTAGTTTCTGTCAAGGATCCTAGAGGTACTGAATATGAAAATAAAGTCAGTGAGGTGAACATGGGGTTCTTGCACTCAGACCTGCTGGTGGAAGTAGCAGCATCCACGTGGAGGAGGTAGGCTCGCACTTCCCTCACCCCTCCTCCCATGGGAAAAGAAGTGAGCTGCCTCCTGGGTAGCCTGGAAGCAGGAAAGTGGGCATGCACAGTTCAGCCTTTCATCTTCTGTGCCAGCGTGCTGGTCAGCTGTGTTCATTGATGTGATAGCTGCCTCAGCTCCCTCTGATCAGAGCCACTGCCTAAGCCCTTCCAGAGAGCTTGATTCTGGTACTAGATCTATAACAACAGCCAAATTAGCTTTTTTAGATAAGTGTTCCAATAGGTTTCAAACTCATTTAGGAGCAAGACATTAGCTCTCTAGATAGAGCAGTAGGTACAGCATTTTTAAAAAACACAATCTGATTTTGAAATTAGCATTTTGATAGTTCACAATTTCCATAATAAATTTATTATACTTAAAATAAAAGGTTAGCCTCTTAAAACAGAAGCCCACAGTACTGATGTTTCCTGAAGATAATGTAATAATATCTAATATGTGACAAATCTTTGTGAGTTCAGAGGGAGAAATGGAGATTTTTTTAAGCAGCAGGGAATGTCTATATTATTATGAAACACCTCCAGATGGAATTACCTGAGGCTGGGAATCAATAGTCAGAAAGGATGAACAAGCTTCTTGCACCTGTAGAAAGCAAAGACATCAGTTACACCCTAGACATAGAAAAGAGCCCCAAACAGAAAGCAGACTTCACCGAGTCATCACATACAGACAGCAACTCAAGATACATGACAACCTTGACCCCTAAGTTCAGAGAAGAGGCAACTCTAAAGCCTTATAAGAAAGTCCCAGGTGCTGAGCATGGTAGCATATGCCCTTGATTCCCATCTCTGAGGCAGGGGGATTGCTGTAAGTTAGATACCAGCTTGGGTTGCACAGTAGATTGAAGGCTGGGATGCACAGTACAAGCCTTTAGAAATGAAAGAAAAGAGGGAAAAGAAGAAGGAAGGAAGGCAGAGTATGAAAGAACAGAAGAACAGAAGAGAGTCCAAGAATCGGGAATTGTCCAAGATCCACTCCCGGCCATTGGAATATATATGTCCCCAATAACAGCTGATAAAGCCCACCAGAGTATATGAAGAGTCCTCAAACACTAATGTAAAGGTACGAGTTCTGAAATAATTCAGCCTGATGTCACAAATAAAATAAATGGCCTCAAAATGGAATGCCATTTGTTGCTGTACAGTTCTGTATTTGACATGACTCTAATTTCATTTCTCTTAGCCTGCTAACTGAATGAAACACAGCATACAGAAAAACTCTCAGGACAAATAAGCCATAGATCTCCATCTCGAAATGAATGCTTACTCAACTATGGCTAACCACTTGCTATTTTGAGAGGCTGAGGCAGGAGGATCACAAGTTCTAAGACAGCTTGGACTACCTGGTGAGATGGACATAAGCAGAATAAAATGCAAGCAGAGATTTATGGTAATCATGAGAAGCAAGGCTGGCAAGATAAACCCTAAGCTCTGTGTGTGTGTGTGTGTGTGTGTGTGTGTGTGTGTGTGTGTGTGTGCGCGCGTGCAGTATTTATAGCATGCATGTCTTTGGTGGCCTTTCAAAACAGGACCAGAAAAAGAAAACAATAGTACTACTGATGCTTGGGTGCTGGAGTGGTTTCAGTTAAATCTTCTTTATGGCAAAGCACCACAGAGGCCCTCCAGTGTCAGAATTCTTTATTGGTCTACTTAACTGAAATTGTATTCTCACACCAGACTAAGGAGCAGTTATGGTCCTCAATTGTAACTTCTTAAGCTCCTTGTTCCTTCCAAGTTGACAGCACCCTGAATATATGATTCTTGAGCTTAGAGGACAGAAACGGCATGAGCTGGTGCAAAGAAGCAGGATCTCACATCTGTCACAGCTCACAGAACACATCTTTACACACCACAGGTTTGTGAGTATTTGGAAATTGTGGCATGTACCTGCTCCCATGCGCGCACAAGCGCGCGCGCGCACACACACACACACACACACACACACACACACACACACACAAGGGGGTGGGTGAGAGGGAGGGAGAAAGACTTTTTGAGACAGTTATATTTAACTTGACTAGAATCGATGCTAAATAAAATTTCTTGAATTGAATTGAATTTTTGAAAAATAGAGAATGCAAAAAGAGAAGTTAACTGAATGATGAGCTGAAAAGATGTGAACACTAACAGATTGAAAATGCATCAAATCTGCAAATCCACGGTCTTGGCTTTGGTAGGCTGGGAGGAAATGGCTTCTACTCAAGTGTTCAGGGTGCAAGGAGGCTTGAAACCTTTGCACAACTGGGGGAACTGTTGGGTAATACTGGTCCAGCAACAGGATGCTACTGCACTTGGCTAGCATGGTAAGTTCTCTTCTCTTTCCTTTAAAAGAAGGCCAGTGTTTTCATAGCAACTGTCCTCTCTATAAACCAAGCTTTCGCATGTGAAGTTGCCTGTGCACAAAAACAGGGAAGCCTTGAACCACAGCGAACTGATTGGTGCATGGAGCTGCTTAAATAAAACATCGGAAACATCGCAAACCTAATTAACCCAATTAGGAGATCACTGTAAAGCTTCCGGATTCTGTTCACATTCACTGGAAAGGGGGCAGCAGCTCCATTCACATTTGGGTAAGCATTCACAGCTTACCTCAGTTCATGGCTCCGATGGTTTTTAGTGGCTTTTGAGACCTCTGAATCGTCCATTGATGAGTCTGTTTGAAAATGACAGATCTCTGCACATTGCTGGAAAAGCACATAACTTCTAGTGTCTGGGCCACTCTGTAACGTAAAAGCCTCCAGCAGGAAACAAAACAAGCAAACAAAAATCCCCAAGCAAGCAAACAAATAAAACAAAAAGCAACAACAACAACAAACCCCTGTCTTTTGTGTTCTTAACAGGTCACCCTCTGTGCACTGTTGTTGGGGTTTTTAATTTTGTTTGGGGGAAACGAAACAGGGTCTCACTGTGTAGCCCAAACTGGCTTTGAAATTGCCTCTTGAATACTGGTACTACAGTTGTATGCTACCACTCTTGGCTAGCATGGTAATTTCTTTAAATATCTTTTTCTATAAAAGGACAATGTTTTCATAGCAACCCTTCTTCTTAGCATTATGATCTACAATATTTTCCAAAGTTATTCACAGAAAGAGATCATTTAAAGCTAAAATAAATTTTTTATATTGTACCTTTGAGTGAATTATTGCAATCATTTATTTTGCTTTCTGTTTTTCCCATGTTCTTTGATGGGCTACTGGAGCACAGACCCTTCTATTAGGCTTTATGAATATCTGTACTGTTAAAGAATATCCATTATCTGGTACTTATCATCCAAAATCAATAGCCTTGCTGGTAATATTTCTCTTTATTATCCTCACTCCATCCTCTCATATACAGCTTTTCCAATGAATTTAATATGCACATTTCATTTGTATATATTCTTGTAAAATCTGTTTTGTCTGTATGCATGGTACTTCCTTAAGATTTTTCATTTATTTTCCACTTAACATACACTTGGAAAACTAGCCATGATGCTAAGTGTGTATCTAATATGTGGCTTCGACCCATTGTATAGCCCTCTAGACTACATGATAACATATTGCCTATCCATTTCCCAGGGATGGGCAGACAGCTGGGTCCCATTTAATTCTTTCTGGTGCAAACAGAGCTGCAGCCAGTCTCCTCATTCAGTTGCTCAGTCCTCTTCCTGTGAAAAACTTCCTGAGGGCGCTCTTCCTAGGGGAGGAAGTGCTGGAGAATTTGAAATTCTGTTTGAGAAGTTTTCCCTGATCCTCACAAAGGCACACTTCTCCTGTTCCTTTATGATTTATCTTTTATATATGTCTCTTTAATTCCCCTCATATCATCTTTATACAGAGTGTTGTTTTATGTCTCTCGACACAGTGAGTCAAGTTTCAACCCTGTTCTTTTTTTCTTTGACTTGTGGTGTTATGTGTGTGTGACTTCCTCCAGAAACAGGCGTTTTGGAAAATGATGTAGCTGGGGACATAACTCAGGAGTAGAGCACTTGTCTCATTCACATGCCTAACTCTCTGGGTTGAATCCCCAATACTGCAATAAATAAATCAGTAAACAGAAATGGGAGAAACTGGGCTTCTGTCTCTCAGGTGGTGTCTGGAAGAGAGTGTAGAATAGGTTGCCATCAGCCATGCTGAGGGAGTTAAGGGAGCAAAGGTCATTTCCCACCACCTCCTTTCCTGCACCATATGAATGTTGCCCTCCATGGTGGTGGTAAGGCCACTGTGGTTTCAACAACACTTGCAGGGCTGGCAGAGCAAGCAGCGCCACAGAGCGAGACTTGCCATGAGAAATTGCCTGGAGCACCTGGGATGACAACTGTCAAAGGTTGCATTTATTTTAGGGGTCTTGTCTGACTTTTCCAAGGTGTAGTTTTATTGTAGTCTTCATAAACAGGAACAGATAGTTACAGCCCTTAAGCTCCCTGTATTTCAAATGTCCTCAGGATTTGTAGATGTTTAGTTTCTCATGTCAATGTTAAACTTAGATGTTCCTTAATAAAACAAAAAGTAAGTGGAGTTATTCTAAGTAAAACCACACTGATGGTATGGGCTTTGCTTTGATTAATTTGAGGAAGATTGGGTATTTTTATCACAGTGAATGAATTATACTGAGTCCCGTGGGTAAAGCATTTGTCACAGAAGGGTTTAAGCTGGATCCCCAAAGACTCACACAAAAAGCCACTATGCTTTAAATCAGTTTGGGAAAGTTTGGGGTGCCATGGGGCTCAATCAGCAACTCCAGTCTAACTCGTGAACTCCAGATAACGCACACACACACACACACACATACACGACAGATAGCTCCTAAAAGCAACCCTCCCCCAACACCTAATTGTTCCATTGACAAAAAGATACCTCTCCTTCCAGTCACATGGTTATCTTTTATTATAATTTACTTTTTCCTCTATTAATGTACTGTGTACTTACTACTTATTGCTTTTTGTTGCCATTATAGATGATATACATTTGTTTCTAAATATCTGTAGGGATTGGCTCCAGAATCCCCGAGAATACTAAAATCCATAAGCACTCATGTTCCTTGTATGAAGCAGTGTAATACTTGAGTATAACCCACATCCTCCTGTATCCTTTAAGCCATCTCTAAATGATTTGTAATACTTAATACAATGTGAGTGCAATGTAGACCATGCTGGCCTCTGCCTTCCAAGTGCTGTAGGTAAAGGTGAGTGCCACCATGTGAATGCTATATGGGTAGTCATTATACTTAGTGTTTGGGAAATAACAACTGAAAGAGCCTGTATGCACTTAGGAAAGATACAGTTTTTCATCCCTAAGTATTTCCAACCCACAGTTGCTTGAGTCTGTAGATGGAAAGCCAATTATATTTTAAACTATACTATTACATTACCTTCTTCTAGTGAAAGGGAATGTTAATGATTCCTATATATTAGTATTGTGCCTCCAGATCTTGCGAACTCTTGTATTAATCCTTACATTTGAACAGCAAGAAACTTAATTAATGCAATTCTTCACCATCACAGAGAACAGGGACAAAAGGATGATTGCTGATCTCAAATGAACTCCAATAAAGTATTCAGCTAGAAGCTGAAGATTAACACACCTCTCAGTGAGACAGAAAAAGAAAAGTTCCTTAGCTAGGTAAGAGCAGAATGTGAACTTCAGAGAAAGGTTTTCTTTTATAGAGAGAAATGTATGACAGATTGACTGTGTAAGACAAACATGGGCTTTGGCCAATGACACAGGAAAGCAATGCATATTTCAGGCACTAAAAATCTTGTCACTTCACATCTGCATGTATAATGTGTTCCAATCAAAGCCACTGCACTCCCCACCACCATCTCATCATCACTTTTCCCTCCCACCCTCATGTGCTCTTGTTTCCTTTCTTTCCCAGACAGGGTTTCTCTGAATAACAGCTCTGACTGGCCTCGAACTCACAGAGAGCCACCTGCTTCTGCCTCCTGAGTGCTGGGATTAAAGGTATGGGGCACCATGGCCAGCTTTGTGTGCACTTAAAACAATAACAACAACAACAATAAAAAACTCCTGAGTCAGGGTCCAAGATCTAACTATAAGACACAAACTGACTTAGTTAAGCCTATTCTATATGAAGAAACACCTTGCTCAGCCTGGACACAAGGGTGTGTGGTGGGGGCAGAGGTGCTTTGGTCCTGCCTCAATGAGGTGATGGGACAGACTTAGTAGACTTCCTAGGGGAGGCATTACCCACTCTGAGGAGCAGACTGGGGGATGGAGGGGAGGTGTAAGGAGCAGAAAGAGAGGAGGGAGGGGGAACTGGGATTGGAATATAAAAAAATAAATTAATAAAAAAAATTTAAAAACCCTCTGAGTCCACTCAGTGCTGCTGGGATGCGAATGGGGTAGGACCATCTTCCAGAGCACAGGTAGCCTTGCGCACAGCTTATACTTTTGGGTTTTTATAATGAAGCAAAATATTCTCTGAAGTCTTAGCTATAGCCTACAATTTTTGATTTGTAATATTTTTGTCTTTCAACTCTAAGTTTAATTTCCTTTTGGTTCTAGAGTTATTCACCAAAATGCTGCTTATTTGGGATGTTTAAGTCATGGATTTGTTATTATTTTCTTATTGCATTGCATTATGATTGGAGAAATATTTGCTAGATCCTTTCTAATTCATGGAACTTTTCTTTCTAACCTAAGTCATTCTGTTTTTTTAGTGCCCAAGTTTTCCCATGGTTTTCTACCAGTTGTTAGACTGGTGGAATCTGATGCTGAGTTGTTGGAATGTGCTAAAGATGACAGCCACATCTTCTTGTCTATCTTATGTGAGCATATAAATGCCCTACTTATGTTTGACAGCTTGCTTATTTGATTTTATTTCATCAGCTATTAAGACTACTATACCAGTTGTCTTTCAGTCCATATTAGCTTTACATAACATTCTCATCCTTCTGTACTTAAGTGTGGCTCTTGTGTGTGGGAATGATGGAAGGCGTACACTGCTAGGCATTCAACCCAGGGCCTCACAAATGCCAGGCAAGCATTCAACCACTGAGCTGGATCTTCAGCCATTAGGTGTGACTCTTAAAAAAATATATTTGTTTATTTATGTGTATGAATTCCTTATTTGCCTATGTGCCTTCATGACCTAAGAGGGCATCAGATCCCATTATAGATGGTTGCAGCCACTATGTGGTTGCTGAGAATTGAACTCAGGACTTCTGGAAGAGTAATTGATGCTCTTTCTTAACTGCTGAGCCATCTCAAGATGTGATTCTTAAGAAACAACTATTCCTAGATATTTAACAAATAGAACACAAATCCAGTCTGAGAATTCATGTCCTTTAATGGCATAATTTACTATTTGCTGTATTACTTCCTTTTATCTTCCCCCTCTCTCTCAGTATTTTCTGAGTTAGACTTGAGATTCATATATCTACATATATGTATGAGTCTACAGATCAGGCTGGCGTTAAACTTACGTACCTCAATTTAGTCTCAAAGTGCTAGGATTGTAGGTATGTTTCTCCATACTGGCTCTTTTATTTTAATGAAACATTCTTAATTATCATAATGTCACAATGTTGGTAAAATTATAGTTGTTCCCAAAGATCAATTGTACTATCTCACTTTACCATAGTAATTATAAAGAAGAGTGAAATTTTCACTAATTGTTGCAAAGATAGTTTCTTACCTTATTCCACAATTGTAGTTCTTGTTTGGGCCATAATCTTTGAGGTGATATTGGAGCACCTAAAGATAAAGTTTTGAATGCACATTATTATTATTATTATTATTATTATTATTATTATTATTATTATAGTTCTTTTCAAAATAGTTATTTCTATGGAATTCCTTTTCAGGTTCCAGGTGTCATTTTTATTTGCTATAAATTGCTGCCAAGTCATTTCAACTAGATATACCAGCATAAAAATCCATAATTATCAAAGAAATCCCAATAACACAATGAAGATAGCTTAATACTCATTAGCAGCTGTTTTTATTTTCCTAAAAGAGGAAATAGTCTAATATATGCAAAGCTGTGATAAGCACTTCAAATACATTATGTCCTTAATCATATCAAACTTCTAGATAGGTATTATTATTATTATTGCTAATTCATGACAAGAAAACAGAAACAAGGGAATTTGCTTGAGGCTAACCTAAATCAATAGGTATCAAGAGGTGTGTATTTGATTTTGTTTTGTTTTGCAGGCAGGGTCACCATGTCTCCCAAACTACCAAACTACCCACAAATCACAATTCTCCTGCCCCAGTTTCCCGAGTGCTGGAATTACACATGTGTATGTTTTGGCTTCAATGCATTCTGCCAAACATCTCTGGCTGACATAAATCTGGTGAAATTCTATTTCCTCTAAATCTACTACTTTATACTCAATATTGCCTCAAGTTCTAGCATATTTTACTATTACTTAATTTAAGTTATAATAGTCACAATTAGCTACATTTTCTGTGTTATTGATCTGATTCTGATGTGTGTGTGTGTGTGTGTGTGTGTGTGTGTGTGTGTGCACGCGCGCGCGGGCATGCTGGGACTCATACCAAGGGCCATACGCATACGAGGCCTTTCACTAACAATGCCCAGTCCTTTCTGTGGTACTGAGTTTTAGTGGAGATTCAAAACCTGGTGGAACCCCCTTTCCTGGAAAAATCCTTCACACAGTGATTCATTTCTCACCATACCACAAACATCCACGCCAGGCATAGTTCCCTGATACACTCTGAACTCTTTCTGCCTGCCGGAAAGGATTAGCCTGTGATGTCAAATCCTTTTTAAAAATAGCTGGAGATCCTCCTGCGTGAGACTCTGTTTGAGTAGTTGTCTGCACATATGTATGTGTGTATCATGTGTCTGAGAAAAGAACATCGGATCCCATGGACAGAGGGCTTGGGAACAGAACCCAGGTCCTCTGCCTGAGCAGCATGGGTTTTAACCACCAAGCAGTCTCACCAACTCTAGCATTTCAGTTTAAAGAATGCTGCTTTCAGTTCCCAGCCCTTATCGTCCCAGGACAAAGTGAAGTTCTAACTCAGCTATCCTGCTTTACGCCAGACTTCTCTCAAAACCACTGGGAGTTTGACTCCTTCCAAACCCCAAGTTTTCATAAGCCACTTAGAAATTGCCATTGTGCTTAACAGTTCTAACCACTTATATCAAAATAGAAAAAGGGATGCTGTGTGGCCCTTCTGGAAGACACAATAAGACTGAGAGTAAGAAATCTTCAGAACCTAAATTAAAATGTTTTTCTATAGTCGTTAGAAATCCACTAATATCATCTGACTGAACTCAGACAGAGGAACATTGCTTTCCTCTCCCCTTTTCTAGAGTTGATATGTTCCCCTCAAGCCCCTTGGTGTGTTAGTCTGGTTTCTGCTAGGTAAACTGTAAAGAAAGGAGGTTATTTGGTTCACAGTTTTGGAAACCATACATCTAAGCTCCAGCCTCTGGTGAGGGTCTCAGGATGGATAAAGAACCTGCTAGATCAGTGATTTTCAACCCTCCTGATGCTGGGACCCTTTGATGAAGTTCCTCATGTTGTGGTGACTCCCTACCATAAAATTATTTTCATTGATATTTCATAACTGTAATTTTTTCTGTTGTTATGAATCGTATTGTAAATATTTTGGGAGATGGAGGTTTGTTGAAGGGGTTGTGACCCAAAGATTGGGAGCCATTGTGGTTGAGTGGTTGTGTAAGGAGAGAAAGCCAGAGGGCAGGGAGAAGCCTGTCTCAATCTTATAACAACCCACACTGCAATGACCCAGAGTCCCAAGGGAACTCCTTTAATCCCTTCTGAAGGTGGACTAACACACCCTTTTACCCACTAACCAGAGGAACACACCCAGTTACCTGCCGATGTCCCACTAACCCCGATTCACAAAGGCTCAACATGTCTCCCTGTTACCACACCAAGAACCAAGATTCCAAAGCTTGAACTCTGGAAGGTATACTCAATCCGTGTCACCTGGGATGTGGACCTTACACAGTACTGGCAGAAACTGGTACTTGCACTACTCTCCACATTTTTTTTTTTTTTCAAAACAACACCACTCTTTTCTTCTTGGTCGTAAAAAACGGCAGCTTTTGCTCATTTTTATTGAGGTATTTCTGTTTAAGCACTATGCAATTAAACAGACCTAATGACTTTATTTAAAGGTGGCAGCCTTGTCGTTCTTGCTAACACTTCCCCGCAGTTAGCAGGTGGGAAACATTTACTATTAACTGATCATTAAGAATTAGTTAATGAACGAGAGATCTGGGTTTCCTAGGAAAGACATTCATTTTAGTCTCGGCCATCATATCTCCTATTGCTGTAGGCATAATCAAGTGACTGGAAGATATTCCTCTTTATGAGAGAATTCCCTCTTCCAACGTGTTCTCTGAGTTAACTATTTCCACCCAGCATCTCACTAGCCCACTGCCCTTGTGTACTTTGCTCCTTTTATTTTTTTTTCATTTTCCCTAAGAATGCTACACTTATTGGCACTTATTTTCAACTGTTTTTATGGCATTTGTTTTGTCTCTGTTTTAGACATATCTAGTTACATTTAAGTAGTGATTGCTCCTGTTAGGTTACCTCCGACTCTTGCTTACATATGCTATGCATGTCCCTACTCCCATGTTTATGAGCTTGGGACTAACTGAAGATCACACTGGCGAGCGATTCATCCTGCCCACTCACCACCCCATTACATTTTAAAAGAAATGAAATTCATTTTTTCCTGTCTGAAAGGGAATGAAGGTAGAAAAAGTAGTCAGGGCACTTCCTGACTGTGCAGGAAGTCTTTTGCTTGAATAATACCAAAGCTATTTATGATGTGATAGGTCAACCAGCAGATTTGTTCTTTTGGAAACAAAGCCAAAGGCTCATCTGCTTTTTTAGGAACCTGCTGTCCATCCAGGTCCCCAAGACAGTCATCTCCCTCCCAAAGCTGCAGGAGCCATTGTAAGCACATGGCACACAACATGCATAGAAAGCATAGCTTTCCCCCTAACAAAACAAATTTTAAAAGTATAGTTATCAGGCCTGGCTCCATGGATAAGAGCACTGTGTATTCTTCCAACAGCCTGGGTTCAATTCTCAGAACCCTCATGGTAACTCACACTTATCTATATAACTCTAGTCCCAGGGGAGGCCACACCCTCTTCTGGCATCCCTGAACACCAGACACACATGTGTGGCACAGACATACATTCAGACAAAACACCCATACACATTAAATAAATACATATACAAATAAAGGTTATGACTATCTGGCCTCAGATACTTTATCTGCTATTGCCAGGCTACTAATCTCTTTGCAATGTATTAAGTAAACCTACTTTCTTTCTTAATAAACAAAACAAAAACACTATAATTATGTCTTTCCTTGAGAAGGCAAATGAAATTTTTGTTCTAATATTTCCAGTAAAATATTTAAAGGAGAAAAGGCTAATTTGCTTTCATATGCCATGATGAATTAGTACTGTGGAAGGCTAATCTGCTACCATGTGGTTGTTATCTGCCTTTTCTTTCAGAGGACAACTGGAGCCGGCTGGGGCTAGATCTCAGGTCTTCATGCTTGGCACAGGCACCTTTACCTGATAAGCCATCTCACTGCTCCTGTTACCTTGCTTTTCAAATGAGGAAGCCTGTTCTTCCTCAATGTCTCAGCAACAAAGATCAAAATAAGGAAATGAAGGCAATAAAAGCAGGTCAGGAAAAGATGTTTGTCTTTGTTCATCTCTGAGGCTAGGCTATGAGCTACCAAAGTGACCAGTAGCTGTGATGTTAAGTCCTCAACATTTCTGAAAAATTACCAGTCTGCTGACCTGGCCCCAGCTGGAGAATTCATGCTTACAACAATGCAGTATTTGGAATTTGCAGAGCCCTAATAATGCAGGAAGGAGTGATAGTTCCCCAGGTTACCTGGGAACTAGACTTTCTTTACAGAGTCAACAGACACGTTTTGCTCTGCCACTCACTCCTTCTGAGCATCAGACCTTCCTCCCTGATTTTGCTGATCTTCTGTTTCCTGGGAGCCAAGCTGGGAAAGTCCCTGTTGTCATCAGGTCCCATCTACCTTGCTGGTCTTAGGTACCCATCATTAGAAACCTGGGTAAGCCTTGCATGGTCGCTTCAACTTTCTGTGATCAGAACTCTTAATCCTTCTGCAAACCTGCAAGCCCCCGGCCCCTCCCCCACATTGTATATAACTCAATATCTAGCTTACCGGGAGGCGGAGCACACTCCAACTTTACCTCACCTTGGCAAGGGGAGCAGCAGACTTTTGTCCCTTCAATAACTGCGATGAAAGGGAAAGTGTTTTAATTTTTTTTTTTTTTTAACTCGCACTACTGAGTCTGCAGTTCGTTTCTGTTGCTTCCCCAGCTGGCTGCCCCTGTAGTCTTGGGCTAGACTATGGTTTCAGTGGAAGATGGGTTCTAGAAACTCAGAAAGGAGGCAAGGAAGATAGAGAGAAATCCGGGGAGCAACAGCCTGAGGGGCGCATGAAGCAGGAGGCAGAAGGTGGCATCTTACCTCTGCAGGCATTTGAGAAGCAGGCAAGGAGCAGCAGCAATGACAGGAGCGGGTATGCAGCCGCCACTTGTCCCCCAGACAGCCCTGGGCGGCTACCCGTTGCTCGAGACATCTCAGTCACTTCCAAGCAGCTCTGGACCGGGAGATCAGGGACCCTGGGCTGCTCTGGTATTCTGGCTGTCCTTCAGCGTCCCGTCTCCGGTGTGTCTCTTGCTGAATTCAGCCACCAAAGTGACCATCACCGTGCGCCACCAACTTTTAAATCTGGCGCACACGTGGGCTGGGCCGATGTGGTCTCTGCGCGCATGACCTCGCCGCCCCCTGTCTCCCTGTCGTCACCCGGACCTGCTGCTGCCCCCGCGGGACATGCTCTCCCCGGCGGGCCGGGTGTCTGACTCAGGGCACCACTCAATTGGCTCTGAGCTAGAGGGTGAAATTAAACCATGGCGGTCCACTCCCACCTGTGGTAGGACTTGAGTGGGAGGCAGAGGGGGCGGCAGTTTCCAGAACCTGAAATCAGGGTGGTCAAGTTGGCAGAGGTGACAACACTGTCCCCTGTGTCACCTGGGATGCCACAGTATGCCTATCCCTTTTGTGTGGGTAGGTCCCCTGGCCAGCAGCTACTAGAGCTCCAAATCCTCTGGCTGTCGAAGCGCCCTTTTTTTTTTTTCTTCCCTGGTTGAACTCCAATTTGGTACAGAGTGCCCAGAGCACTGGAGCCTTGCTGCTTCCAGCACAATGCAATGAGGACGATGCTGCCCAAAACTCCAAATAACTGCAAAGTCTGAAATCATTCCTGGAGATGCAGGTGTCAGTTTAAAAAGGTGATGCAGGAAGGCCAGAGCTTGGGCACCGTTGCAGGGGTGTAGAAGGTGCAGTTGTCTGAGGGGCACAAGGCTAAAGTGGCCTTTTCTAACCTCTAATGTCCTGCAGTACCTACTTCCGCTATCCACACACTCCAGGAACCAACCTCTAACAGGACACCAGGAATAACAATTCTCATTTCCTTCTGCAGGAGAAAGAGCGACTGATCTTATCTGACCTCTTTTTGAAAGGTGAGGAGATCCCAGGAAAGGGCAGGAAGGAAGCACAGTGCTGTTTCTTAACTGGGTATTTTGGGGTCATGCAGCCATAAACTTTCTCATGCAATTGCTTTTAATATTCATGACATATCTGTAGTGTAAAAATAAAAAAATAAAAAAGGAAGAAAAAGAAAAAAAAAACTATTGTAAAAGGCACTGTTAAAATGCATGTAAGAAAATTCTGAGTTACAGAGATTAAGCGACCTAGTCAAGCTTAGCATGGGAAAGATCATGGCCATTCTACTCTGTCCATTCTACTCTGCTCCTGGTTTAGACGTCTTCCTAAACCAGGAGCCTCCAGGAGCCCGGCATGAATGTGCAGCACACTGTAACCAAGGCAAGTCCTTGGAGGGAATCACAATTTAGTAGGAGGACCATTCCCTAAACTAGCCTTTGGTAAATAAAGCATTCCAAATCCATACCCATTAGCTGTGCCTTTCAAGGTTGAATGCAGCTGGGTCGCTAAAAATCCAAAGAGAAGTAGGAATGAAACCCTGATGGTCAGATATAAAATGAAATACTGGCTAATATTAAGACTAATCATGTACAAGAAACACATGAGAAAGGCAAGATTATAAAGGGGAGATGGATGAGAATTTATTTGAAGATTGCTTGCATTTTGATATAATCCCGAAGTAGTAATAAATGGATCAATGTACATGGTACAATGAAACTATGTGACCTAAGAAGGTAGCAGAGACCGGAGAGGCAGAGAAATTGTGGCTCTGGTCTTCCTCTCTCTTCCTCATGTCTCCCAGATGTCTCTGAAAAACCCCAGGTCTAAGCAGCCAGTGTGGTGTGAGTTAGCCATGACCACCCAGTGTTGTCTTTGCCAACCCTCTCTGTGCCAGGAACGGAGAAGAGAAGGCATGCATTACCTGAGCTGGGCTGCTCTGAGTGCTCTCACATGTGTCCCTAGTGCACATGTGTGACAGTTTTCTGAGGTGTATACCTAAGGATAGAATTCTGAGCTCAGTGGGGATGATCTAGTTAAATAAGTTTTCAAATGGCTGTACTGCCTTACACTCCCATTAACAATGAGTGAACTTTTCCATAAAAAAACCTTTACCAATGTGGCATTTCTCTGTCAATGTACTTTGAAGTTTCTAGTTATCAATGACACTGGCTACATTTTTGTAAGCATATCAACCATTATTGTTTCTTCATGAGTGAATATCCATTGATCTCCACTTCAGTTAGTTAGTTAGTTTGTGTTCTTACAGATCTATATAGAGGCTTTAAGTATTGTGGAACCTCTAGTGGTTAAAACGCAGCAGACATCTCCCTACTTGTGGCTCTTTTACTATATTGTATGAGTTTCCATTTTTGAAGATGTGTTTAAAGAAACATGGACTCAGAGGTCACATCATTCTGAGACACGGATAGCAAGACAAGGTAGATGGATGAATAGGGGAAGATTTATTTCCCTAGGAGCAAAGACTGAGAATAATGAAATGGAAGATGATTGTGTATATCCCTCTTTGTTCCAATATTTTTTTAAAGCTGAACTCTAGATCTGGATTATATCTCAATTTCTAACGAAGAAAGAGGTCAGTACTAAATATGATGACAGATTGGGTTGGACACTGGTAATCTTGCAATTTAGTGAGAGCTAAATGTGCCTATTTTGTTACAAAATGCATGTTTTGCTGTATATTGTCTTCTGTCTTCATCTATTTCTTCTAAATTTGTAGATATCAACCTCTCCCTTTCAAAGTCGAGTCTGTTTCTTGGAAGGATGTTTGGATGGACTCTTCTTACTGGAAATCATCTCCAGAGAAAGACTTTTCAGGAGACAACCAAAGGCACTATTTTTACAATGCATACACACTTCAAACAAAGCTGTCTCATGTGACTAAAGATCAGCTGGAGACTGAGTGCACAGGACAGCCAAATGAATAAGAGGAAGGAAAAAGGGGAGGGGGAGAGTAAGGGGTGGTGTTAAACACCTGTCAATCCAACACTTAGGAGACTAAGTCATAAGTTCCAGTGTGAGCCTAGACTATATAGCCAGACCCCCTCTCAGGAAACAGTAAACCACAGCAAGACAAAACACAATAAATACAAAAAAGAGAGGCATGCAAGCCAAGTAGGTCAATCCTGTTTAAGAATTACAACTTAGGGTAATTAATGTTGGTGAGACAGTGGGGCAAAGAACTGCTAGAAACACCACATCTTTTGCAAGAGGGAAGCTATGCTTGCTTTTTGCAATTACTGTTAATAGTCACCTAAAGCGTTTTCCAAAAATAATAAGCCATGCAAATCAAAAGCCTTCCCTGTGGAATCATTTTCAGTTTTATTCAATGTATGCAGTTATTGTGAGGCCGATTGATGGCAGGTGAAAGGCCAGAGCCATCTTGGCTACTGTTCTGCAGAACAGACTGGTTTGGGGACTCTTAAAGTAAATTGTCATTTGTAGGCAGGCTTCTAGCTACTGACTTCTCTACTGGAGGTCAGAGCAGGTTGAGAAGCAGCAGCACAAGGTTATCTCAGAGACGGCTTGGAGGCATAAAATCTCTTTCAAAAGATGTAATAAAAGGCGTGATGGTCCTATAATCTCAGCCAATGAAAGACTGAGGCATCAGGAGTTCAAAGCCAGCTTGGGTAACACAGCAGGCTTGAAGCCAGCCTGGGAGAAGGAAGGAAGGAAGGAAGGAAGGAAGGAAGGAAGGAAGGAAGGAAGGAAGGAAGGAAGGAAGGTATGAGAGCAGCAGGCAGGCAATAAGGATTTTTGAAAGAGCAAAGGCAGTAGTTGGTGCTTGGTTGATTGATGCTCAGAGGGTGAAGCCATTACACGAAGCTGCAGTGTATTGCTAGTCTGAGATGCCATATTAAGACATTCTGATCCATTGAAAGCAGCATCTTTTCTTTGTTCCTTACATTGCAATTAGAATATTAATATACACCAATAAAAGATTTATTAAATTTTCTTGACACATTTGTGAATCACATCCGGACAAAGTTGGCAGATAAACACATACTCATAGGTTTATGAGGTTTTATAAAAATAGGACCTAAAATTAAATGATAGCTATGAAAATACAAGGACAGAGTAACTTCTACATAGCATTGTAGTCATTTTAAATGACTACATTGATTTTTAATCCCCCTGAAATAAATGAAAATATTTCTATATTTCCTTGAAATGTTTATTATTTATGAAAATACATGGATTCCTTATATAGACATGTTCAGATCAATATTTTATTGTGTTTTAGACAAAAGCAATTGAAAAGGAAAAGTGGACATAATTTGACATTTTAAAGAAGTTAAAATACTCAAGAGACCTGGAATGTATTTCTAAATATAGAAAAGAGTGACATGTTAGTGAGTCTCATAAAAGGGGTCACTACCTACTTAACCTCAAGCGTTTCCGTTTTAGCTCTGGTTTTTAAAGTAGACTACAGAGCCATGGGTGCTGTAAGCTGTATAGTGTGTGTGTGTGTGTGTGTGTGTGTGTGTGTGTGTTCCCATACATATGTTGCTATTATTTTAAGATATTTTTCTTCTAATAACGATAAAATTAGCCAATTTTGAGCAGTTTAGTTTTTTCACCTATAGTCAAATCCTTTTTTTCTCAAAAATCAATTTGTGCTTACCCCAGAACTCTGACAGTTAAGGCAAAAAGCCGTGAGTTTAGGGCCAGATTGTGCTGTATAGTGAATCTGAGCCTAGCCTGGCTGTTTTCTGTTTTTACACAGTAGTATGATTTCTGGTGGGTGCTAATTTCTGTGTAATTGAATCTTAGCCGTAATTTAAAACTTTGTGTACAAAAAGCCAGGTACACATGGGTCATCAAGACCGTGACCAAGGGCAACTTGGAAAAGAAGAGCCTGTTTCTTCTACATGTGTCAATTACAGCTGATCATTGAGGGAAGACAGGGCTGACACTGAAGCAGGGCAGGAACCTGGAGGCAGGACCTGATACAGAGGCCATGGAGGGATGCTGTTTACTGGCTTGCTCTCCATGGTCCACTCAGATTGTGACATCACCCACAGTGGACTAGGCCCTCATGCTTCAATCATTAATTAGGAAAATATCCCCTCCCCCCAG